ACTCCAAAAAGGCAGCGCAACAAAGGGCGAGATACTCTTGCTTTTCTAGACAGAAAGATGGAGTTGGAGCAGGAGATGAAGAGGGAGGATTTGGAGAAGAGAAGAGAGGAACAGGAGAGACAGCGAGCTGAAGAGATGGAGAGGAGACGAGAGGAAGAAGAAAGACGGGGAGCTGAAGAAGCAATCAGACAGCGTCGGTTTGAACTGATGCAGCAACAGATGCTGCAGCAACATCAACAAGCTCTTCAGCAACAACAACAACAGCAACAGCATAATCAACAAATGCAAACGATGATGATGGCCCTCATTAAATCTTTAGAAAAGAAGTAAAGAACAATATCTTTTTTTTCATCATTCATTTCAAGTGAAATATTTTTGAGTGACCAACAGTGAACATTTTACTTTGACATAATTTTTTACCAATCTGTCTTTTCAGCTATACAGTGCGTCCCAGAAAAAACGAAACCGAGAAGTATCGATGTTTTATCATAACCTTATCACAACCATAATTAATGAACGATACATATTTGGAAAGCTTAGAGTCTCCTCTTTCAGTTGATGCTACCCACGTGATGCATATTTCACGCATGAGTGATTAAAAGCAATTTGAAGGAAGGAAACCAAAAAGAGATTTGGCGGGCGGTATCTGAATTTCAAAGAAAAATTCATATTTCTAGAAAGTTGAGTTTCTGCCCTTTCATATGATACCTCAATCAAGAAAAATGAGCCAGGAATACCAAAGTTCTGCTTGTTTAAAGTAGCCCTTACATTTTCATAATTTTAACAAACGAATTCGTTTTCACTGGGTGCCTGTCGTAGCAAAAAGCAGATTTGACAAAAGACTTAACTCCGTTTCGTTGACAATCAGCCATGCATGAAGACTCTCATCTACGGCTGATTGTCAACGAAACGGAGTTAAGTCTTTTTGTCAATTTTGCTTGTTGCTACTGCAGGCAGCCAGTAAAAACGAATTCGTTTAATAAAATTATGGAAATGCAAGCACTACTTTAAACAAACAGAACTTTGTCATTCCTCGCTCATTTTTCCTGATTGAGGTGTCATATGAAAGGGCAGAAACTCAACTTTCTAGAAATGTGAATTTTTCTTTGAAATTCAGATACCGCCCGCCAAATGTCTTTTTGGTTTCCTTCCTTCAAATTGCTTTTAATCACTCATGCGTGAAATATGCATCACGTGAGTAGCATCACATGAAAGAGGAGACTCTAAGCTTTCCAAATATGTATCATTCATTAATTATAGTTGTGATTAAGTTATGATAGAACATCGATACCTCTCGGTTTCGTTTTTTCTGGGACGCACTGTATAGTCCTATTTTAACGCCTGCAGGACTTCAACTATTGACTTTGGCAGTTTTGCTAAGTCTGTGTGTATTAAGTTATATGGTCTTCCTAAGAGTTACCCATCTGCCATTATGATATGTATATGCCAAAGATACATTGTGTTAACTTGTATATATATGCAATTCAACAACATCTTGCCTTTTTTTATGTGTGCGACTTCCTTTTTCCTCCTTAGTTTCAATGTACTTGGTGCTATCACATCCTTTCAATGGCCTCTCGAATGCCCAGCTCCTCCTCTGTCTCCTCTACTGCAATGCCACTTGCTGCCTTCTCTGCATTGTTCTTGGCCTTAACCTGGTCCTTTAAAATGTGGATCCTGTCCCTCACTGCCCTGCAGTCGACCTTGTATCCCTTCCTTATCATCCCCTCTGCCACCTGTTGCCATGCTCTGGCCCGATCGCTCGTCTTATATCTGAATTGGAAGGGGTTGGCTAGGACCATCTCCCCTATTAATGTGTTTATGCTATTGTTGTCCCAGGACATGCTGCAGTAGAAGAAATGAAATCAAGATATTTCTCCTTGGTCTTTAGTAGGTGACTTTGACCATGTTTACTTGTGTAGTGCATATGTTATGTTTTCACAATGCCAACTTGTGTTAATTTGATGAAGGTGTTGTGGCAAGTATGTCGTTGAACTTGATACGTTTACATGTGTAGCCTTCAGAGTAACTTGTTGACATAGTTTTGTTTAAGTAGCTACGCGAAGAAAATCTCATTTTGGAAATTATGCATCACTAGAGAGCTAGCGGATTATATATCATTATTAGACAAGTTGAGATCCAAGTAAACCAGATCTTACAGAAATCATCTCAGGATCAATACTAATTAATATTATTTTCACAGGTACTTCAAATTCTTCAATAGATCTTTGGTGTATTGTACATGTGTTTTCATAATATAACTGGTACATGTAAGATGTAACTTATCAGTTGAAAGTTCAGGTTTTCAGCTTATTTCATGTTTGAGTTTGAGTTTGAGTTTGAGTTTGAGTTTGAGTTTATTATTTAGAAATATTCCTTACTTAATATAGAATCTACATGGAAGTCAAATGTGTGTCGACTTCCGTATCAATACCAAACATACAGTAAATGTATCTAACTTTATGGGTAATTTCATTTAAATGAAATAGGTGATATAGGCTAGAGTGGATTCGTGGATTGCACTGTAGTTTTATTATTACTTCATATTTTCTACTCATTGATGTATTCAGTACCAATCGTAACACAGGTTAATAAAGCTAATGGTGCATATTTTGATAACAAATCTTTTACACAAGTTCTATTGAAATAGGTGATACAGGGTGGAATAGATTACTATTAATACAATTAGTAGTTTGTGTCTACTCATTGTTGTTTACCCTTTCTTTATAATGTGATCTTTTTAATGCAGAGTTTGATTATTGAGCACATTAAGTGACACAGGTAAATCATATCAGGCTAATAGTGGAAAGAAAGTGGCATTTTATGTAGTTGTGGTATTTTATTTATTATGTATATATTATGTATATATACTTAAATATATTTATATATATATGTGTGTTCATTTTATTGAGAAATAAAAATTTAAAAGTACTTGATTTTAATTTGTTTTCTTATCACAGGTGTTTGTATGTTTTCAAAAAATCTTAACTTGTTTGAACGCAGGTTGTCGATAAAGAAAATGATCTAAATACAATGTTAGTTGCAGCAGTCCAAACTAATGAAGCTGGACAAATTGAAGGCGAGGAGGGGGTGGGGTCGTCCCACCAAAGGGGGCTTATTTTTCTTTCAAAAATGTTCACGTTTGTACCTTGATCGTGGCATTTATGCTTAATAATTTCAAGAGTATGAGTAATGTGGTACAGTGTGTGTGTCTCATTATGTGTATGTGTTGGGGGAGAGAGAATGGATGACTAGTCTCTGCCCAACCCTTTGGATTTGCAAATGATATGTGCAAACAATATGAATTTTCAAAGTAAAGTACCGAATATCTATACCAGAACTGGATAGAAAAAATACACTTACAGAACTGTACATAAATACAGTTACACACTCCACAACACACCACATTCTTTCATCTTTCAGTACTGTTTCTTTCTTCTCTTTTCTCTCCTTTTTTTCTTCTTTCTTTCCTTTCTTTTTCTTTCTTTCTTTTCTTTTCCTTTTCTCTTTTTCTTTTCTTTCCCTTTCCCTCTCCTTTTTTCACTCCCCCTGTTCTTTTTTGGTAAAAGAAAATGTGTTTTTGTAGCCATTAATATCAGTTTAAATAAATTTATTTTATGATATCAACACTTATAGTTGGTTTATTTTCATAGATGTAAAAATCTAATTAAATGACATACAGACTTTCATAACTTTGGTGGTACCATCTGGCAATACAAGAAATATAGCTTGAATTTAGACTGGTTTATATACAAAAACTGGCACAAAGTGATAAATTCACACACATATGATACATAAAATACAAAGAAAAAACTACTTTTCCCTATTACCTCAAGAACATGTCCATCTGTGTCATAAGATGCTATTGAATGTATTCTACTGGTATTAGACAAATTATTTTTTGAGTTGTTCATCCAACTGACTCTAGCAAAACCTCATTTGAACAAGATCAGATAAGGTTCTGGTTACAAAGTGATTGCTGATCTCATACCTATTTTTCTTTTCTTTCTCCCACCCTGATATAAGAAGGTTTTGTTGTACTCAACAAATCAACATCCAGTGCATATTTTCCATGAACACTGGCAGATAAGATGATCAATTTGCAGTTGTTGCTTGTATTCCTGTATCTGACTGACACAGCAATGACCAATTCACAGCTTGAGTGCTCCACACTGTCTTTTTTTTTATTGTTAGCTCTTTGAGCGATTCAAATCACCACTTAATAGTTTATCCTTTCACAAAAGAATAATTAACTATAACCAGAATAGAAATAAAGTAAAAAAAACATTAAAAGAATTATTTTGTATTGAACATTTTGTCCATTTTGGTTAATAATTCAAATAAATTATCTTGCTTTAGTCTTTTGAAAAAATCTTTCTTCTCGCTTGAGAATCAATTTGTCATATTTATACATTTTATATTTTCACTTGCCCGATGTGAAATTTTACTTCCTTATAAGCCAACATTAAAATGGTAACAGTGATGCTTGCTTGTCAAATCCTATTGAATAATACTGACTGGACATCAAAGAAAAATATTTGTCACAAACATGGCCAGTGACATGGAACAATTAAATAAAGGTTACAAAGAGGTGATTAGAGTTTATTCAATGTACTGTAAGCAGTACACAGACCTGCACATCATATGCTGAATCATCATTAATGTGGGGGGTCCTATTAAAAGAACAGGTAATTTGAGAATAATGAAAGACTTCTTTCAACATTTCTGGTATTATACAAATAGTGAATGGCCATGAGAGCAACGGTACAAGATTTTATTAAGAGACGCTCTATCCAAAGAGGTGCACCCAAGTTGAATGGAGCATCTCTACGTGCATGTTCTGTAATATTAACATGACTTATTCACATAATTGTGACTTAATCAATATTTTCCTATTAACATTACTGTTTACTAGGTTAATGATATATGTTTGTTTTGCAAATGAGTATTATTTTTTTTAACTGTTTTGTATAAACGTTATAAACGATGTAAATATGTTCATGTTTATTCAGGGCCCCATGGAAGACCACTACTTGTTGGTGAATGGGCTACCCTGTCAAAAGATTAGAAATAAATAAATAAATAAATAAATTCATAACAGAAATTGTTTCGATCAAAGTTATTGAAAATACTCGTCCAGTGATGGAGGCTGCAGTTCAAAGTAGGAGGATGTATTGTTACCATAAATACATGTGTGGGCATTTGTCAGAATGGCCGACACCATGTACATCTTTGCACAAGAACTTAGCAGGATCTTTTGACTTTTTTTGAAGTCCGTGTATTTGAAGAAGTTGATTACATCCCCAAAGGACCACTCCACAGTAATTCTGACTTTGGACATAGCTCTGTTGAATGCTGCCTGTTCCGGTGTGATGTTTGCAGTAGGAAATGGGGCCTGCAGCTGGGGTCTGACGGGATAAGCAGGGTCCCCGTAGATGCACAACAAGTTACCCTCTGCATCATGGGATCCGCCTTCAAGCATGGTTAGAAGACCTGACTCCCGTAGAAGGTAGGCGTCATGTCGTCGTCCTTCCACAGGTCCGTAAAGGTTGGCTATCATTCCATTTGGAGAAGTGACGGACTGGTACTTAAGACTATGTACACGCTTGTGGCCATTGTAAGCCACCCGTTGGTGTTCCCCAGGTCGGCATATCGGACGAACGGTCCCATCTATGAACCCCCAACAGTTGTTTAGTGGTGCCCCTTTCTGGTGAATGACATCAGCGTAAATTCTCAGCTGCTGAGGGGCCAACCAATGCTGCTCCAATGTTGTCAGTCTGTGCTTGTGGGCATCAAAGATGAAGTTAGTCACCCAGTTGAAGGCTAAACAGAGCTGGGGCACTGGTCGTCGATAGTCTTTAACTAAATCTCCATATCGGCATGGATAGGCATAGCGTTGCAGACCTAAGCAGAGAGCCTCCAATCCATCCATTCTTGACCTGTTTGGCAAGGTGATTCTGTCTGGAACGCCTAAAGCATGTTTGAGCCGAAATATATCATCCTTTTTGAATCTGTTAAAAAAAACAAGAAATAAATCAGAACATTAATCAGTTTGAATTTAACATTTTTCTTTAGCTTAAGTGTTTGACAAACAGTGGTGCATATTATAGCAAAGGATATCATGCAAAGTGACTTAGCCGATTTGACAAACGTACCCCAAAATTGGCCTCCCTAAACTACTGTCGGGCCGAAGTGTCAGGCCGACCTGACCAGAGTCGACTTGAAAATATATAGGCCTTACTCTGCTGTACGTGTAAATGAAAAGTGTAATAATTTGTAAACTCAACATTTAGACTAGAGTCTACTCTAGATCTAGTCCACTCCAGCAAAGCATAGACTAGAGTCAATGCTAATGCGTATTGACCTCTAGCACTACAATACGTAGAGTCTATAGAGTCTACGTGTTAATAGGCAGCATATGCACACATGAATAGTCAATAGACTCATTATACACAAATGCACACAATCATGCCGATGTGGCTGATGTGGCTGATCGGCGAGTATGACAGTAAATTATTTTGTCTAACATCAGTGAGCTGAACAAAAATTGCATTTTAATACTGCTACTACTGTGCTAGATCTATAGACCTAGACCGAATTGTCTGTCTCTTTCATTCGTTAGCCTAGGATTTAGGAGCCGACCTTACCCAAATCAGAGGCTAACGAACGAGAGAGACAGAAAATTCGGTCTAGATCTAGACCTAGCTATAAATAATGGTGTCATCAAATTCAAATGTCAATTTTGTGTGCAATCAGTTGAGTTTTGTCCTTAGGCCTAGACTCTAACTGTTAGGCTATATTGAAATGTTGAGAATCAATAGCACAACTTTCAATACACAGCCAGGCCAAGATAGTAATGCAGCTATAGATCTAGATCTAGTCTAGTCTAGACCTAGGCCCCATATATTGAATACAAATTTTGAATAAAAATGTTATAGATCTACTAGATCTAAGTTAGACTCTAGACTCTAGGTCTAACTTAGTATTAATAATTAATAGACAATAGGGTAGTAGGCCCTAGACTCTAGTAACTTTTAGAGTTCTAACCTGAAATAGCTTCTACACTCATCATCGTTGAAATCGTCTAACTCAAAGTGACCACCATCATGTTGGAAGTCAAGGTTGTTAGATGTGTTGATATCCATAAGAAGAATGAACTCTACATCATCTATAACGTCGAAAGCGTAGGCTGCCATAACTGCATCTTGCACTCGATGCAAATTCGCCATGTTTGAGGGAGAGCTAGAGCCTAGAGGGATATTCCCAAGCGTGATGACGTCAGCTACTCTGTAATTATACGTCCGCATTCACCGAAGAGCGAAACCGCCTATTGTAACCAGAGCGGTCTGTGTGCGCGGCCGTAAACCTGAGTGCTCTGCTTCCGCGAAGGTTCCTTATGTTGGTGAGCGAAAACTCGCTATTGACATATTGACACCGGCAAAGTTGAATACACAGACCAGCCCACACTGTAGTATGGGTTGTTTGAAAAGACGAAAATTCCTTGTGGGGTACATGTACATAAGAATAATACATTCAGATATTGAAACATAAAAGAAGCAGACCTACAAACACCATGGGCAGTTTTGAGCCAGGACTTTTAGATGTACAGATGGTTGACCTGTAGATTGGTATTAGGTAAAGAAAAATCAAATACGGTACTTAAGTCTTTCAATTGTGATGTGATCTTTATAACACGTTTGAGTAACCTTCAGTTTGTAGAAGGTATTTTAATTGGTAACTGTTTCCTTAATAGAGTAAACATACTATAGTCTCCTGATAAAAAAGCAGATTGTCAATTCAGCTCCACAAAGTAATTATAATTTCTTTCGTTGGTTTAGATTTGATACATTGGTACATGTCTATATTCTTTCTTCAAACTTTTCAGAAAGAATAGGCTTATAAGCGCTATAAAACATTACTAATATTTTATTAACAGAGGAATAATCATATTTGAGAAATTAGGCCTGTATTCCAGAAGTTCTTGAACCAGACATTGGTTCCACCACCAATTCCAAGGGGTGTTAAAAAGTGACCTGGCAGTCCGGCTTTGTCTTTATTGCTCCTGCCAGTCTTTGAGTTTTCTCATGGAGATGCTCGGCCTTTGCTGTGTGTAAGACCATGTTTTCAACTTCCCACATGCATAATTAATCAATGAAGTAACGCGTCCCGTTCTTGGGGCTATTATGGCCATTTAAAGTATGGTTGAAGTCACACAACACTTGTGAGCAACTTAGCACCCATTCGAGCACCAGTACTCAATAGAATAGGACCTGGCATGTCCATGCTGATCCACGTGTATTGAGTAATTTGTTTAGGAGAAGGATTAGCGCAATTACCCAGAGAAAGTGACATTTCTCCCTCCTTAATACATTTTCTGGTCCGTCTGGTGCATTTTCACTCTTTTGTTTCATTTATCTGTTCATGAATTTCTTATGGCTTTTCAAGGAATTCCATTCTTGTTCTCATTTATTATGCATGCACTTGACATGCGTTTCCTCACAAAGGAAGAGAAAGTCAACGTGAGTCTGAGACCAGATGAGAAAGGGGGGGGGGGGGAGAAAAACTTAACTGTTTATTGAAATGCTGGCAGGTTTACTTCCAAAGCAATCTCTTTTGAAGACGTTTAGTAATTGTAATCTTGTATAGAATTTAAAAGACAATTTGTATCCGTTGTTTCAGAACAGTGCACTTTTAGAAAGTGGTAAAACCTCTGAAAAGTTAGGAAGGCTTGACTTTGGCTTAGCTTCTTTCTGTTAAACTTGTATTGAGTTTGTCCACAGGTCCCTCTGAGAATGGGACTAACTGTTTTCTGCATTTATCCTATTCACTTGAAAGGCTTCCAGCTTTTACATGTACAGCCAGAACTTGGCAGAAAAAGGGTACATGTATAAATAGCCCTACAGAAAATAGACAGGAAGTATTTGTGTTGTGAAGGAAAGGCCACAGAAAAGAGAATGAATTCTCAGATGAGAAAACAAAGAATTGAATATAAATGAGTCAGAAAGATCCAGAACAGTGGGGAAAAAATGGAAATTCAAATAATTAACAATATGCAGTCATTTATTTTGTAAAACCTGATGTGTTTACAAATTTTGAATGAATACACGGTAGCAACATGTCATCATTTTCTGTTTCCTTTTTGTGTTTTAACTTTAAGTCATAGACTAATTGCTAAAACCAAAGGATCAGAAAATCAGAATTGAGTCTGCAATTAGAAATTTGAGAAATTTGAGAAGCCTATGAGAATGGCTCTTAGTAGTCTGCAGGTTCTGTCTCAGTTGATCACACTGCATTATTAAACATTGTTAACATGGATAGACAATCCTTATGTTTCAAGGACAAGTTGTCATTTTAATGAGAACTACATTTAGTTAGGGCTTGAATATACTTAAGTTACGCTACCATGATAAAGTCCCCATTAATTTCCCCTAATGCTGCATGTACGCCTGTCCCATCGCTTCAAGCCATACACTGTACCTTGGGGTGGATTTAAAAACGAAGATTCTAAAGAAGGGGTACTTATCTGACCTTAAGCTTCTTATATTGATTACCCTCGTAGCAAGCGAAAAGCCAAATCCTGTCCTTCTGGAGAGATTGGTCATTATCCCACTCCTGCCTCCCCGCTAATTCTGTCTGCCAATACTGTCACTACATGTACCCTCTTTAAGCCTGTCCTCATCAGCTCGAGATTGCCAAATAGCCCGCTATTTTTGATTTGGGAAATAATCCTGAAGTTACAAATTGTGTCCTCATCAGCTCGAGACTTGACCCCGAAACTTGAAACTCAAGCTCAAGAAATTAGCACAAGATATTTTGCTCAGCATTCACGCATAGGGAGATGCACCGGACAAATAGTGGGATATTTTGCAAAATAGCCAAAGATATCTTGGGATGATTATCTCGACCAAATATCCCGCTAATTGCAACTTTGGGCTGATGATTTGCAATCAGGATAGTACAAATAGCGGGTTATTAATCAATCTCGAGCTGATGATTGAGGACAGGCCTACTGAAAACATCATCTGGGTATTTACCCCCCCCCCCCCAAACTCGGCAGTCTCTCGGGGGATCATTACTCTATGGGGGTAATGCCCTATTACCACCCTATGTACCAAACCCTGCTTTAGGCAGCCCCATGTTCTACTGTTAAGTAGTCTGATGAATGTGCTGTATTGTTTTTTTCCTGATGTGTAGATCCGGAACTTAGAGGGTTAATTACTTAATATTCAGTAATAAGAAGATGCTAGAGAGTAGAGATCAATAGCATGTTCATGTTCTGCCAGGGCATCTTATCCGACTAGTATGACTCAGCTTGTCATTCTGTTGTCTAGATATTCTGCAAGCAATCGGGTTGCTGATATTCATGTATCTAGGATACCTTTGATGTAATTCATCATGCATTTGCCATTATGCACACAAACATGTGCAATTTTTTTCACCAAACACCAACTGAGATTTTCATTTTCTACAGTATTCCATTGTAATTATATTTCTGCACTGTATGATGTGCAAACAGTGATGTGTTTACTCACATTAATATTAGACACGTTATTCTTGTAAACATCCCGGGCATATGTGTACATTTGGTAATTTCCTGATCTCACACTTCGTTGTTCCTAACCTTGCTCAGTAAGCCTTTGTTGGTGTATTGATTATATGATTGATGCCTTGACACAATGTTCATTGTTCAACAACTCCCAGGTTCATTGCTTCAGTGATACGTACATCACAACAGACCTAGTCTTTCAGGACAGTCTTTATAATGCAAAGATAATTGTAGTTTAATATGATGATGATAATAATCCATGATGAAACATATGATATGCATTGTATCTATTTGAGAGCCCTTAAAACAAGAACTTAAGAATAATTGTCTTCAAATGATATGTATCTGTATCTTTATTCTTTGATTGAATTCACATTATGTGCATATGCTAAATTCCAGAGGGAAGTTAACTTTGTTGAAGGTGTACATGTTGATACTCCTGTGGTTCTCTGTAGATGGTTTGTAGAGAGTGCTTAACCGCACTTTGAGAACATTGCAATATACCCTTCATATGAATTTATGGTAAACTGTAACATAATGTGCACCATCTCCTTTCCTCTGGGAGTATTACAACTGATTTGTAGTTGTACTCTGGATTAAAATGGTAGATGGATGTAAGTCCATAAAGCATAAAGAGAGAAAAGGTATTAAATGTGCTCGGTTAGAAGAATAACAAGAGATTCCAGGCTCTCTCACCATGCCCCATCTCAATCCCATTTCACAACACTGCCTTGAAATTGAAATCCCGTTTAATTGTAGGTTCTCCATTGTGCGCCTCACACCTTCCGTACTACCACCCTTGGTTTGAAGTGTGTGCCACCTTACAGGACACCATTGTCCAAGCCCAGGACTTTGCCCATGATTAACACAGCCGCATCGGGGTCAGCAAATCTCAAAAGAGAAATTTCAAGCAAAAGTGAATAAAATTTGAGGCATTGGTACTTGGTAGGCCCCCCTTCATGAATTTACAATGTATAAGTGTAAAATCTAACCGGGTTGACACCCTTAGACGATAGTAGGTGCAAATCTGGCTTTAAATGCAAGGGATATTATAAGTTTATGACCTCATGGTGTGTTGAAAAATATTTTCAAATGACACCTAACCTTTGTACCGAAAAAGATGCCTAAAAGACTGACCACAAATTTAGACTGAATAGACCTGGTGAAAAGTCTTGAAAACAGATTACAAGTAACTGTGAGTCATACATGTAGGACTTGTAAATGAGATTTTTATTTATCACACCATGAAATTGGAACAGCTAGGCATTATGGTTACAAAGGTCTCCATATCAGTTTCAGGAATTGGATCCATATATAGAAGGGATAAGGGTACAATGTAGTTATTCCTTTGTCAATTCCTCTTGCTATTTGAGATACATTTGTACATACGTTAAAAAAATTATGTATTGTAGAGAAATGCACTTCCATCACATCAATTTTATAATTTAGTGTAAACTTTAACCCTTATGGAACCAATCAGGTTAACAAACTTGTGTGTCACTTTCAGCCTTTTCACACACAGCTAAAATTCATCGTATCTAGAGATGATTAGTTTAAACGTGTTTAACTCAACAGTTTTACACATGTTTAAAGAAAATTTTTCCTGTGTGAACATCGTTTATACAATGTTCGGATAGATACGAAGTCGCGATTCATACGCCCCTCAAAGCAGGCTGCAGATACGAAGTTCGTATATGCAGCCTTTTCACACACAGCTAAAATTCTATAAACATGATTAGTGTAAAGGGCTTTAAACTAATCACCTGTACATACGACATCATTCACACACAGAAATTTCGGAGCGATCGTTAATCATTTCACGATTAACTACTGCTCGTAAAATGCGCAATAGTGCCATTGCGCATTGAAGGTCATGTCATATCAATCAAAGCGCACGCTCCATCCAGTTTAAACACGTTTAAACACGAATAACCGTTCACACACAGAATGTCAAGCTCTCTAGCTACGAACTTCTGCTTTTAGGGGTATATGAATCGCGACTTCGTATCTATCCCAACATCGTATAAACGATGTTCACACAGGGAAAATTTTCTAAAAACATGTTTAAAACTGTTGAGTTAAACACATTTATACTAATCATCTCTAGATACGATGAATTTTAGCTGTGTGTGAAAAGGCTGCTAGAGAGCTTGACATTTTGTGTGTGAACGGTTAAACGTGTTTAAACTGGATGGAGCGTGCGCTTTGTTTGATATGACATGACCTTCAATGCGCAATGGCACTACTGCGCATTTTAAGAGCAGTAGTTAATCATGAAATGATTAATGATCGCACACAAATTTCTGTGTGTGAATGATGTCATATGTACAGCTGATTAGTTTAAAGCCCTTTAAACTAATCATGTTTATAGAATTTTAGCTGTGTGTGAAAAGGCTGCTACACATGTAACATGTCTTTGATCACAGTTCTGTAGATTTATTAACAGTGAGTAGGCCCACATTAAAGCTAAAGACCAGTTATGGTCATGCGATTGCATTGTGAAAGAAACATTGTGAAATCGATCAGAAAAGGTTGATCATCTAGCATAGATGTACTGCAGGGTTCTGGAATTATCAAAATAATAAGAAATTTGGCCAAGTCTTCATAAAGTTAGAATCACTGTACACAGAAAGATGTATATGGGACTACACACACGTGCGCGACACGTGCATTTGTATCTCTCAACAGGCGAGAGATACGCTAATTTACCAAATTTATCAATTGGTAGGCGGTTTCCCGTCAACATTTTTATCATCGTGTATTATTCAAAACATATTCTTTCACATGATTGGTAATAAGAGCTTGCATTTCATTTTTTGAAATTGGGGCATTTCCAATACTGGGGTTTACCTTTAAGGAAAGTTGAATAGTATAACATTAATCGCTTAACAATTATAGTTTCATTAAATAGTTGGTGTTTATACAAAATTTCATTAGCATTAGATATCCTCTCCTTCTTCCATGCTACACTCCACCTGTGATTTCATCTTTTGCTCCTCCTTGAGCTGAGGACTAATTGCTCAGGTATCATCCGTGATTTTTACATACCAATACATAGATAATTAGATATATATCTGTTCTTAGAAGTAAAACAATGCCAGGTAAAAAAAAAAAAGACATTTACTCTGAATATGACGAAGTCTATAAAAACATAATGGTTTCACCTATATTTATATCATAAAAAGGAAGGGCCTGTTTGATGAACATAAAACTGTCTCAGATGGGTTGAAAGGTTTTTCTGCGGAAGAATGTCACTAGGCACCTTGTACAGCCCAATCTTGATTCTCAAATAAATATGTACATTGTACCTTGTAAATGTAAACAACATTAACACAAACTAAATGCACATGAATGTTTCATATTGTAACTGCACATTACCATGCGTGTGTGCACTGTGAAACATTTGTTTACGTGTAAATCGACTATGCCTCCTTACATTGCGCGGACATTAAATCGCTCCGAGTTTTAACTCCATGGTTCATCATATTAAAGCTCCTCCACAAATTTTAATGATATGAAATGTTTACCATCGCCAAACAAGTCAGCAGGTGCAGGGAACTTATCAATAGGAAGTGGGTATAAAAAGCTCAAAGTCTTTTGTACTTCAGCATAATAGGGTATTTGGGAGTCAAGAGATAAACCAGGCTCCAATAATAGTCAATAGCTTTGTTTGCGATTGTCTCCCGCAAGAAGCCTGACTGTATTCATGTTTCACAAACAGTTGAATGAGCATTTGACTTTTGCCACGAGTGATTTTTAACGAAAAATAATTTCTTTCTATTTTTACTTGTCACATTTTGTGTGATAGGAAATGAATTATTCTTTCATACTCAGTCATAAAAGTTTTTTTTGGCGATAATAGTTCTTTATGATTTTAATTGACTTTCGGTTTATTGACAATTTTGCCTAGAAAAGCCAATTCCCTTCTGAAATATATAATTCAAACAAAATTACTGCAGAACATATTCATTTTTTATTCTCATTAAATCTTTTGTGAAGATAAGTAGAACTATTAAAGTTTGCAGTCAAGTGAAAAAAAGCATTTACACTCTGATTATCATTCTGAGTATTAAAGATAAACTCCAGTTCTGGTAAAAAAAGAAAATTAATTCCCACAGAATCAAACGAAACTTACACTGAATGTTCAAGATTACACATAAATGACATGTGCCAAACAATTTTGGAAGAAAATGTATACTGGCTGAGTAATGAGCATAGAAAGACAAGGAAATCAAGGTAGTACTAGCCCCGACACCATGTGTGTTGTCCCATATATAGCTTTCTGTGTACAGTGCCTGTTACTTTACCAAGACTCTGCCAAATTTATGATGATTTTGATGACTCCAGAACCTTGCAGTGCACACCAATACTTACATGCTACATGATCAACTGTTCCTGATCCATTCTACACCTTTTCTTTCATAATGCAATCACATTACCAGAACTCACCTTTATCTTTAAGAAAAGTAAATTGTGGATGATTTAAAGTGGAAGAAATTCAAAGTGTGAACACAACTCGTGAATGGTGCTACCCTGCTGATATAAACTGGAAACTTGTCTGAACTTTGATTGCATTCCCTTGCTGTAATTAGGCTTGACATTCCTGTTGCCTACGCACAAAGGTATAATGCTTCATTCGAATTATGTTGATTTATTGAGAACCTTAATTGTAACTTGTATTAAGCAGCTAGCAATTTTACTAGTAATGTACAAAATATAAAGTTAATGATCGGAAGAGAAAATAACAGAAGGCATGATGGTTTCCAATAATGATTTTAAGATTACAATGATTTACCGGTAATAACTACTTTTTGTCTGGAACATCTCCAGTACATTGTATGGTATCTCAAATAGTCCAGAACATCCGACAAAAATGAGTGAGGGTCAAGTTGAGAGCAGTATGGATAATGAATTTTAAGTACTAGAATGTTTGCTTGCATGGTTACAAAATGACAGACATTAATGACAGACGGGCCTTGAATTGTTCAACTTTGTTTTTCATTCCTGTTCATCAGTCGCGGCTCTGGAAGAGTGCTTGAGCTCCCAAGCCCCCCTCCCCCTCACACACATCAAACAAGAAAAAAAACTCAAATCCCCGCAATTTGTCTTGATTATAAATGAATTAAAGCAAGGCACATGTAGCAAATAAATGCAAGAACCCCAAGCCCCCAGCCCCCAAAGGCACCCAAAATCAACACACCTGCTGTTCATGATAATTAGTCCATGAGTTAAGATATAATCACACAAACCAAACTAATCTAATCATTGAAACAGATTCTTAAAGATAGTACAAGGTGTTTATCTATACTGACTTATTTTCTTGAAATAGAGTATTATATGTATTATGTGTGAACCTGTTGAATCAGTAGGAATCTTAGGAACAACTACATATGAAACGATAAGTAACTTAGCAATCAAATTGAAACAATCTGGTGCATTATTATTCACAATGTGATGCAATTTGTGTGTGAGAATCGTGAGAATAACCTCCCTATCTTTTCCATGATTGAGTAATCCTTCCAACTGGGCTGTGTAATTGGTAGCAGGTGAAATTTCCATGAAAACTCAATCAATTATTTTTCGTCATCATAATATACAGAGAAAGTGAAAACAGATGTTCAGTGGTATTTCTACACCTCATGCATCATAAATGCAACTAATTATTTTAGGTTTAAAGAAATTGTAATCGGTCAAATCAATTCAAAAGGTTTTTCTCCACTGAACCCTATAGTTTTATTATAACTGTAAATGCAATAGACAAATTAATTCACTATTCACTTGACAATTCACAATTTGAATCAAATTCAAATTATATTCTTCTTAAAGCATGATTCTCATTAAAGTTTTTATGATGGACAATCTTTTGTGTTATAATAGTCACAGCACAGTCCCCTTTTTAATCAAAATGTGCAGTGTAGATAGTTTCACATTTACCAACCTGTATACGACACTTGTATCGTACAATAAGTTCCTTTTCTTAAAATCTATAGTCTTTTAAAGAATTCTATTACCTGGACGACACCTGACTCTGTTAAAAATTAGACTACATGCTTTAGCTTTAGACACTGGTTGTGTTTACTTCTTTAAAACAAGCATGCGATAATGAGGTTTTGGACCTTGCAAGCTATGGTTCCTCAGCCTACAGAATGAATATACTACTTGTATTTTTGTTTGTTGAACAGACATGGTGGAATGCATTTACCATGCTCTGTTTCCACCCTGTATTTACATTTAAAGCAATAAAATCTCTATCATACAGCAGCTTACGTCATGTTGCCATTGTTCCAGCGAGGTGTATCTCATCTAGAAGTTCAAACACCTGGTGTTTGCAGAAAAATATTTGTCCTTGTATATTGTATTTCGTATATTTCTTGTATTTATCAAACTTTTCTCTGTTTGGTTATATTTACAGAATGCAGAAAGTGTGAAGGCGGTGAAATCGTCGCAGCATTTTGCAGCAGTGACTTTGGTAAGTCTGTTTAGATTTCATGATTTAAGTCTTCTGTAAATAAAACCTGCAAATCATGTGTTTTGGTTATAAAAGGATTGAAATACTGAGCCAATATCAATATGTCATATTTAATTTTTTTCTTCTTCAATCTAAACTGACATTTCTGACTTAAAGAACATTGTATGCTTTCTATGCCTGCAAAAAAATGAACTTATTAGTGACAGATGATTTTGATAAATTATGTTCATGAAACGATTACTGGCTGGAGAATCGAATGGGAAAATAATCAAGTACAATGGAATAGGATGTGCTGTTTGTTAAAAGTATAAAAGAAATTGTAATTTTACATTTAAATTGGGTTAATGGGGTAACTTTAATAATGGTAGCTGGAAGAAAAAAGAAACTAGTTAATCTCAATGCCACATTAATCATATTTTGGCAGTGAATGGCACTTACTTTTTGAAATTGCAAAATTACATGAAGATGTTGTTGGAATCAAGATATTATGGTTAAAGAATGACTTGCTACGCTAGTTATAAAGATGTGTACATACATGTATAACAGTTGAGACATTTGTACCATATGGTTGGAAAAGGTCTAAACAAAAATCGATTTGAATTTTCATCTGTTTTCAATTTTGAATCAAAATAAACTTGTGAAACTTATCTAATTTTAATTAGGTCCTTACATGCATGACTTATAGCTATTTCGATTAATTCCTTTTGACTTATTCCTATTTTGATTAAATCCTTATGACTTATACCACCTCATTTTTTCCTTCTCGTTTCTCCTGCAGCTATTAAAGGTCGCATGCTGGCCGTCACCCCGGAAGAGAGCACGAGGGAGACATACATCAACGTTGCCGCAGGAATGGTGTACAGACAGAGAGACCCAGTGTTCCTGCCAGGCAAGCACAGCCGGTACTACGGCCTCATCACGACTCCCACCAGGTGTGGGGTCAAGAAACTGGAAGGCCACTACCTCATGACTGGCCAGATCGTCTTGGGTAGGGCACAACTGGGGTGCATGGCGCATCTGTCGGTGGTCAAGAAGGTGGCTCGAGAGGTGGACGAGGCCGGAATCAGCCCCTGTGATCTCACACCCATTCTTGGACACAACCATCATAGGTATATTGAATGAACACATGTGCAACAGATGATATCGTCACATGCTGCTTCGGCCACCTGCGTCTTCAGTTCACCATGTCCAACCATAGACGTAATGGTCCAACATCCGGCAGTCCATCTGGGCTTTGACTCACTGACCGAGAGGTCACATGCCTGTCAGATGACCTCATAAGGACATTGCCCAGGATGTATGTTTAGAAAGAGGAGTTCAGCTATCTCAAGATTGCAGACTGATTGGTTTTCTAGGTGTTTTTCTCTGTCTTTAGCTAAACATTGATCAAGGCCAAGCTCAGATTGTTATCAGTCTTCTGTTTATGTCACTCCATGACTTCTTATGACCTCTTCATCATCTGATGCTTCAAGCAGCAAAACAAACAGATTGCTCCTCTATGCCCATGTTCATACTCCAAGCAAAGTTTAAACTTTGTACCTATTAAACATGTCACCTCTTTAATCTATTCTTATTTTACCAAAGTAAAATTGTACGATGCAAGCTTTCTCAAGAAGACTCGTTTGTGTATGAACATGACACCATCTTGAGAAGATAGTGAAATTGCAAAAAGTTATTTGGGTAAATAAAAAGAAGGAAACATTTGACCTGTACTTCAGTTTAAATCCTATAACAACCTCTTTTCTCCAACCCTCTCAAAGCCACTTGATGGACTTTTCTCTCTATAAACCTCCCTTTTCAATAAATGAAATCAGACACTATTATAATATTAATACTTTTTATACTTCCAAAGTAAGTGTCGCAAACTCCAACCTTTGGCCAAAACGTTTTTTTTAAAGAGCTGTTACTGATTATAATCTAGCTAGTCTGATTGAATCCAAGAATTTGTTCTACAGAATCCAGTGAAACTGGAGGGACGGAGAATAGGCAGCCGAGTCTACCAGTCAAGATTACGTCAAAGGGAATTTGAAATCTGTAATTTAAGCGAGGGAGCTAGGGCATTGCATTGATGTACACAAAGAAGGGTGACCTCTCTAACCTCACAATGAACCAGTCAACTTTGACTGTGAGCTGCGCCCCACCATTCTCCCCCGTCAATACCCCCTCCAGAAACGGAGAGGAAGAGGAGAGAAAGAAACCAAGAAAAAACGGTCAGAAGGAGAAAAGGAGAGAGAGGTAGAGAATGGGGTGGGGGGCTTTGCCGGAAAGAAAAGGGCTTCTTGGACCGCGTAATTGCATGTAACTTCTAAAGACGACTGTTTGTGTTTAAAATTCAGTTGCTTTTCCATTGGATGTACCTCCAACGGCCCCCTCCCGGGCTGTATTCCTTCCATGTTTTGGTATATTCATAATTGTTTGGATTGGTCCTCTGTAAACTACACCCCCGGATGGAGTAAATATTAATAGAGTGACCTGTTAATTAGTGTATCAAAATATTATTCACGCTGCAAATAGTGCCATTCACACCCAGTTATCGGAAGTTTCCCACATCACGGTCAGTAATTTCAAGGGGAAGTTAATATAGTACAGAGACCAGTCTTGTCCTGTGAAACATAAACATGGAGCTTGTTGTACTACGTTAAGCCTAAAGGGCATTGATATCCTCTGTTCAGAGCCAGAAGGGTACTAATGCTGTGTTAAAGTATATGATTTAAAGCCCTTCCGGCTCCAATATGGCACAGTATCAAAGGAACAGTCATGTCTTTAGATCATCATGTAAAAACTTGCATCATTTGACAACAACCATATATTGTCAGATATGCATTATCATAGAGGAGCTTGACTCGTACAGTTATATCTTTGCTCTCCAAACTTTATCACAATTACGACAACAGGCATTATTATACCGTAATTGTTTGGGAGATGACTTTACATTTATACATCTATCGATTAACAAATGCTTGTGTGTTGTGATATTTACCAAGCCGCATTTCAAATGTTTTTCGTCATGTAGAATTTCTCTTCAATTTTATTCGTTGCTGTCTCTTATTCTCGTTTGAAGTATGATATATTTCATCCATATTTGAATTGACCATTTGCATTCAATCCTTGCCATTTCATTGTATCATATTATGTGAATACAGCACTTGTGTACAAAAATATTATATGGAATTTTAACAGTATTTATGGTTCTGTCAATAGAGCTTGCATTTTATTAACCCTTGTTTTGGTTTGTATTTCTTATGGATATAACCTCAAGATACATTACAAAGAAAGAGTGAAGTATGTTCTTGGCATTTTATTTAGCCCAGCCCAGGTCAAAATGTTTTTGTGGCCTCATCGCATAATCAGTTGCAATTAATTCATAGCACTCATTACTAATTGATATCAATCGGAACTCTATAGTCTATAGTTGTGATAAGGGGTTTGCAAGTTTGCGATTAATTAGAGGACTCGCTATCAATTTTGATCAATTTGCAACTCTTTGTGATATGAGGCAAGCCTGGCAGATGCCTTACATATATCTTGAGAATGTTTAATGTCGTCTGAAGTAGAGTATGATTAACTATAATGATCAGTGATCATTTACATGTATGGGTAGTTCAATTGTAGTCATGTGAATCTGTTATTGGCAAACTTTAAACAAAATCTTCTGATCCAGAAAAGAACAAACTGTATTTCTAATATGTTATTTGTTTGATTGCTAGAACTGTTTTGTTGTTCAGTTCTAGTTGAACAACTCATTTCTGTTGACATTTCTGTCTAAACTTTGTTTTGTTTTGATGAAAGTACACAAGAATCCTTTGACAACACACATGTACTTCCATGATTTTTCCTATCTTCTGCTGTACTGTAGTAATGATCTTAACATGCAGCATTTGCATTATTGTCCTCTGTAGTCCCAGTGCATGTATTTCAAGCAGGACTTGTCGACTTCTTGATAAAAAAGTGGGTCAAACTAGAAACGTCTTTAAGTCTAAAAAATTGAGATTCAAAAGTCGTGTGTGCATGTATAAATGAGCGAGGAACCATTTGTACTTTTCTACCTTCACCAAACAGTGCCCCAAACTAATATTAGGATACAAAAGATGCTTCCCCATTTATAGCACCCATCCTTGATGGGTATATCCCTCTGGCCATGAGGAGGAAAGGGGAAGGAGAGAGAGAAAAAAGTACAAATTATTAGACAAGATTATGTCAATAATGGAACTACACTGTACCGCAGAACAGCCCTAGGATAGTCTTTCATGAGGAGAACCACAAGGTCAGTTTCCTAGGTTTCAATCGATGCCATCGTTTTGTGATCCACCCTGAATTGTATCTCGGAATGACTTGTCCCTTTCAGGTTATACCCCTTCCCCCTGTAGCACCGGTCTATCTGAGGCCTTTGTCCAAATCATGTCGTCCTCGTTTCCTATTCTTCGCCGTTGTTTGCAAATAATCATCTCATATTGGGAAGCGAGTCGATGAGGTTACCGTCAGAAGAGTTACGATGATGAGTTTCTTTGTGAAGATCTCTCCCAGATACAATGATATTCAATGATAACCTCCCTGTACTTTAAACAGTATAGACCGACGAAGATGATGCTCAGTTCACTCGTTACACGTTTTGCTACAACTGAATCAAGAGGCACATGTTGGTATTTCTCAATTAGTGTAGCAAATTCTCCCTTTTTCTAATGCATTAGTGTAAAAATGCAGGTATTTTGCCCACCTTTTGGAATCAACTTTGGTATTTCCGTCAATAAAAAGGGTTCATTGAAACGAAGAGCACAGCAATGGGTAGCACTTGCACAGGGATTTACTTGGAATGCTAATTGATTGAGTTGCCCTTTTTACATTCTTATTGTTAATGTAGCATTGACAAAGTTTGATCAAAACTTGTCTTTGGCCGTACTGAGCATTCTTTCCTCTGCTATTTACTAAAAATCGAAGCACAGCTATGGTCTGGCTGTGTCAGTGTATGCAAGTCTCAAAAACTGTGTCCTTTATACAGTTTATAGCAGGGATATGTACCTTTAGGAAACCATGTGATCAGTATTCCGATTATGTTTTGATACATGAATGTTTGTATTTAACAAAGGTATGGAACAGAGCATGATATTTGTGGTTGTGGTATTGAGAATGGCGTAAAGGGAGAGTTGAAAAGAAAATATGTAAATTGCATGAGGAAACAACATGTTGTGAAAAATGAACAGTATCAAAGCATGAAAGGCACCCTGGTTACATGCACAAGAAAAACCATGATTTTCCTATTTGTCCTGGACCCTAAGTATTGAGGAGACTGCTCAACCGCTCATTATTGTAAAAGAATCAATAATTCATTGAGTATATATCGGGGAAAGACTTTGGCTTTCAAGTGAATGACGAAATTCATTCAATTCATTTTTTCATCTTCAATGAGTTTTATTGTCGCCCTTTATTTCCACATATGTATTTAATTGCATCGGGCGTATGTCTCATAGAGCGAGGTTCTTTGTACTCTTTTTGAATCAGTATTCATTCCTCACTGCCCCTTGTAATTAATTAGCATATTTTATCTCTTGCAAGTCTGTACAATTTTTGATTTATCAAAAGCCAACCTGTTTTAGAATTCACTGCTCTATTTGCTGCGAGTGGATTGTTTCTTGATGAGCTATTAATGAAAAAATAATTCATATCTCCTTTATCTGTGGATGTTTGTGAATTTCTTTGAAAAAAGGGCTTCGGTAATTTGCTTTATATTTGCCAATTCGAGGACCAACAAAAGACCCCTGCTGAACTCAACAGTGCGTTGTGAGCTTGTATGTTCCCACTGCTTGCAAGAAGCTGTTCATCAGTTTCACCAAGGCTCTCCATGTGTGACGATGCTGTTGGTATGCATAGCCCCAGCGTGGTGCAAGAGGCTACGATTGAGCTCCAAACCTATTTAAACTTGCCGGGGGAACAGGCCTGGATCACAGCATCTAATACGAGTAGTCTAACCTCGTCTTTGCTTGTTTTGTCTCACTTACGTAGTAGAGCGATTATCGTCGCACCATTGTTCAGACAATAGGATTTCCGCTCGACTGTGTCTATACCCGATCATGATCATAATTGCGTCAAAATCCACAAACGGGGGAGAAAGAACCCAGCCCTGCCAGGCGGATGGGCAAGGAGCCTCACCCCCACGCTAGAGTGCATTTGGCGCTGTTTTAGGGCTCCCCCTTTTGTTTTCAGGTTTGAGGGGGAACTTGAACGGGATGATAGCTGGAGTAGGGAGATTGTATTGTTTGCTTCTAACCACCAAAGTCTATCTCTCAGTGGGACATCGTACCATTACAAAGTCTCTTCTAAAAAGGAATTCTTCCTAGCCTAATTTGAATTATGCCAATTGCTTTTACACAAAAAGATTCATTGTCTCTATCCTTGTCCCCAACCCTCTCTGTCTCTATACCCTTACTCTCTTTAATCATACTTGAAACAGTAACAAGTACTTGTTGATTCTCTATGAGTATATGCATACATGCATGTACGACATCTGCGACATCTGCCAATGGCAATGCATGTATATAGGATCATTACACTGTAATCTGTTGAGTTTAGCATTCTCTTTGAAAAACAGCATGCCAACAGCAAAGAAATGTTGAAACATATAAAGTTTGCCAATTTCAAGCAATTCCATGATAATTCTCACTCTATTGTAACCATGTTGAAGTTTAATTTAAACTTTGTATGATTAACAAAAATGTACAATGCTCCTTTAAAATGGATCAAAGTTTGCATGAGCTACCACCTGTAGTTTTTAGAGTGGCTTTGTATGTGTGAATTCTGTGTATCATATTGTATAATAAACTCGCTCTACACATCTATGTAAAATTGTACAAAGGAAATTTCATCTACAGACTGCCTGTATTTATAAATACACACCACTGCCGTTACAGTATTCAGATCCTTTAGAGGGAGAAAAAAATCATTTGTAAATGTTTTTGTTTCTAATATTGACTTGCACATACTTCAGCACATGAAGTGAGTGTGCAAGAAGTAAACATATTATACAAGTAAGTCCTATGGATATATCTTGATATCAAAATATGCTATGTTATACCTCAGTGCCTCTTTATCTGTTTTTTTCTCCAGCATATTAGAATAAAAGACCTCAAATATTCTTTGGTATTGCCATAGTAACCGCATTTAAATATAGAGATTAGATCTCCTATTTTGACAAGCCTGTATTAATTGTTATTAATTATATCTCCAGGTTGAGGCAATGCTAGTTGTTTTGATGTAGAGGTTTATATTTATGTAATATTACAGTTCCAGTTAGTTATGGTTACAGTTATTGAAGTTACAATGAAGCCCTCAAATTTAGTAAACTCTGAATCAAATTGTCTCCCTTCTGTCACGATAATACCCACTCTATCATGAAACTTATATATAACATACCAATCAGTATTTATTCTCCATTTTATTGACATATAATTGAGGTGTATACTAGCCTTTAGAAAGTTGACATTTTCACGATACTGGCTCACTATAGGGAAAATTGATTTCAATGCCACAACATTTCATTCAATTTGACCAATAAAACGATAGACCAATGCATTCATTTCTCTAATACCCACTGTAATTAGACCTCTTTTGAAACCGTTCCTAATCGCAAATGATTTGGCAATGCCTGCGGATTAGTTGGGTTTATAGCGTTTTGATTGTTGTAAGCCAGTGCTTATCACCTCTTCACATTTAATCATCATCATTCGCAAGGCCGCTTTCATTTTATCAATTAGGGGGAGTTTGATATAGATGCATCCAATATTGGTAGCGACCATCACAGCTCACGTCGGTATTGTTAGTGGCATGTTTAATTGACAATACTTTTGTTGTGTTTTGATATTTAGAGGTGTGTGAGCGTGCCACTAAAAATGAATACACTAAACTGATATGTTGATTACATGTATATGTCACATGAGGTTGTACATTTCACCCTTTTTCAGTGTACATTATAGTCAAGCACTCAAGAGGACATCTTTGGAATCACAAATTTACAAAAAGTTAATGCCACCATCGCCTTCTTTAGTAAGTGCACATTGGTTTTTGAGTGACCAGTTTAGATATTTGGGCCCTCTGCTATTGAACGTATCGGTTGTAACATGACAACATTTCACTGCATAATTTTGTGTGAGGTATTGCAGCATTCACTTAAAAAGAAAAAAGAAAGTAGTTTTTTTTTAGACAAGTGAATGAAGGGCTGTGTATTGTAACTCTCATTGTATCTAAACACAATAATGATTTTTGAATAATACATTTTAGTTATTAGTTTTTTGGGTGGAATGAAAGAAATCAATTAAACACATATGTATTCACTTTACTTTTTGTTTTAAATAGGAAAAAGACGGATTCAACATTTTCAATGTAAAGATTTCTTCAAATTCTGAAGAATCAAACCCATCTAGCATGCAATCATTATTTTTTAACTGCCATCTTTTCTTTTATAACCGTTTAATATGTCTTATAAAATGGGTCTTGTCACATTTTTGTTGTATTTGTGATGATAATATTGCCTGCTATCATTGTAAAGTAAGTCTTTTTAATCTTTATGTAAATGACTTAACTCCTAACCATTGAATGTGATAATGTAAAATGCAAAAATAAATATATTCAATACATTAATCCTATATGTCTGTTAATGAGTTGCATATTATTCTTTTTTTTTCCTTTCATTGTGAAGCTGTTGATGAAATGTTTGTGTATACTCAATTGCTAAAAGATTGCACACATGGAAAAAAGTTTATGTGCAAATGACTTCTAAGTTTTTGAACTTGTGAGTTACTTCTTTCATTCCTCGCCCGGCTAAGCATGTGTAAGACTCATATATATAACGCCCTTCCATAGATCATTCAGTTACACTGAGTACTTACAGTTCATTCCATGGTGTGTGCGCAAGTGAAATAGAGAAGAGAACGAGGGAGGAGCAAGAGAGAGGGGGAGAGAGAGAGAGGGAGAGAGAGAGAAAGAGAGGAGGAGAGAGCGGGAGAGAGTGAGCGATAAAGCACAACTGTGAGTGTTGATGGATTGTTTGAGAAAGTTTTTTTTACATGGATACTTTAGAAACCTTGTCAATATGACATCCCAAACTACGAACACAAATGACACAGACAAGTATAATTTTATCTACACACAAATTTCAAGATTTTTAATTCTTTACTCTTCTTTTATACAATTTACATGATATCTGAACAGTCATAACAACATATAATCATTTTGCTGCATAAATACTAGATATTTTTCTATATCACAAGTGTTGAAAGCATACATAAAAAGCACATGACATGTTAGACAAAATAGATCTTCAAATACTGGTTTTTCTTCAAATGTTTATACAACTACACGTATGAATGCCAACTCTTACTGGATGAAGCCAGGATGAACATGGGAAAACATTTTATTGTGCACAAAATCGAAAGCTAACATTGATCGATGTGTTTATAATTTGAAACCAAACAGAAGTTCATTGGTCCAAATACACTGAACATTGTATCAGAGAGTTTGTAAAGAAAAAAAGTGAACAGTTTAAACAGTGCAAAAGAGGATTCTTCTCAAAAACCTTGGAGTGATCACAAATAACAGTTAGATTCGAACCATTGTAAAACATAAAGGAACACCATACATTTTGTATCCTATTTTGATGCATCACCATTATACTGTCATTTACACGTACACTGTGGTTAACATCCCATTTTACTTTAAGAAAGTAAGATTATTATAACTGACACAAGACTCTATAATGTGTAACCTGTTGGCTTGAATTTAAAATGCATTCTAGGAATTCACAACATCCCTTTTTCGATTCACGACAAACTTACCGGTAATTTGATAGTGAATTTATAATATTTTCTGGGGGGTAAAAAGGCTTCATATCATTAACTTTCGAACAAGAGCAAAATATGGTGCCAAGTGATGTTCTAGAAAATGTCACATTTGTAAGCTTAATTAACAACAATTGGCAAGTTCTACTACAAGTATCTGCAGTATATCATTAAAAAGAATACCATTTTTTCAAGGGTGTATTGTTCTTCCTCTCTTTAAAAGCAATTGCTTTTTCCCCACGCTTTCTCATCATCAATGTTGCTATATCTGGCAAGCCTTAGGCAAACTTCTTACTGCTAGGAGCAAAAATATGAAAGGTATTCACAAGATATGCATATGATGTATCACTTATGATCAATGTTTAATCTACATGAGCCATCATTTTGTTATTCTTGCACAAATATAGCAAGCTTTTAGTATGAATACATTGTGCACAAAAAGCATGTTTGAAGTATATTAATACTTCAATCCTTTATGAAAATATCTACACCTTTTATGTATATCATGAAATTTTAAGTTTGTTCTAGATAATATGATGAGAAAAACTTACAATAAATATGATTTTTAAATATTTTGTATAGGAATCGATAATCAACTCTGCACTACTTGCAGGGGCTAACAAATTTCCTTAAGACCTCAATTAGTGTATATCATGGGAACATATCGTTAAGTACATTGGGCCATTTCTAAGATTTGTGGCCAAAATAAATATGCAAGATAATAGTTTAATCATAATATAATATTCATTGCTATGTCAGAAATCAATGAAAGAAGCGATTGTTTGGGATTTAAGTAGCAGTTAAGTATATCACTTTGGTATTATTAAATACAATATATTTCCAAAAAACATACTGAACATGTCATTCTATGCTGGAATAATTTTCGAAATAATTGGGAACTTTGGTAAATATGATATCCATACAAGAGAGCAGAAAACCTGGAACAGTTCTCAATTTGCATTTTGAGGGTGAATTCTAAGAATATCACATTCACAATTAAAGTTTACAGGATCATAAAATACATGATAGTATTAATTCATAAAAGTAATAAATGGTTGTATTGTTTTGCCAGATGAAGAGTTCAGATTGCACCAATAGATACTTACTATATATGTACAAAGTAAAAATGTAGATAGCTACATGAGCATTTTAAGGGAAATACAAGCCTGATCATTTGGAAAGATACAAATGCAAAGGAAACAATTTTTTGGTTTATACTGGTACAAGTGAGGATAATAAGATTATGCAATGCAAGTATAATTTTTAGTTAGTGTACTTTTTGAAGTGTCAGTAAGAAAGCAATATAGAACCAACAACACATTGTTTTAAGGGTTAAAAAGTTGAGATACATTGTATATTCCATTTCATTGCTAATTTGAATTGCATATTTGTGCTCCTGTGCTTTCAATTCTCAAACATACCTTCTATGTATAAGTAGCTATTTATGGTTAAGTACATATCAAGGTTCTCAACAACTCTATTCTGAACTTCTTCATAAATATTAATCTTCAACTTTTGTTAAAACAAGAAAATAATTCAACCCTTTTGCAAGAGTAGGCTTTCCATTCAAATCAACGGCCATTTCTGCAATATTCTAAAGTATTTCCATTAAGACTGGCTTTCAAGTGCATTTTTTTTCTTTTACAGATTACAGTGATTTAGGAAACTGTTTACAAATGACATACATGGAAACATTTCAGAGATAACAAACAAAATTAATGGAATCAAAGCTCAAGTGCAATATTTCAAGTCAAAAGCACAAACTGATTTGACATGGAACATTTGCCAAGCTGTATGAAACATGAGAACACGTAAAACACATCAATCAACCTAATGACGTCCTAAAGTGAAAACATCCTACGTTGAGAAATAGATTAATCTCAATGTAACTGCAACAAATCTAGCATAAAGCAATACTTTAGCCTGTTTTTATCAGCTCGAGTTCGCCAAATAACCTGCTATTTTGCATCTTTATCAGCCCGCAGTTGCAATTAGCAGGATATTTGGTCAAGAAAATATCCCAAGAATATGGGTCTTGTTTCCAAAATATCTTGCTATTTGTGAAATAGAAGGCTAATTTGCACCCGTTGAGCTAGTTTGTGATGAGCATATCAGTCTGGTGATGACGCAATTTCGAGCTTTGGGATAATATCCCGAGTGTGAAAATAGCGGGTTATTTGGCAAACTCGAGCTGATGAAGACAGGCCTATGGTGAATCTTACTGCAACTGATACCACAATACTGCACAGTAGAGATTAGACTCTTTAAGACGCTAGCACACCTTACAATGAACTCTCCTCAAAAAATATATATATACTTCACAAGTACTTACAATCAGCTATAAAAAAAGTAACATCAAAATGATGATGACCAACGAACACTTTCAAAATATCGGCTATATCTTTCCTAAATGAAAAACTAAGTTCTTTTCATTTTTTTCTTCATCTCTCCATCATTGTTTAATTATGTACAGGTAAAAGGTATGTATTATTCTTTTATCTACATGAAGCAAATGCTTGACACATCTTGAAATTCATAATGCAGCCTACTCTTCGACATCACTATCCCACGAAACGTATCACATTTGCCCAAGTATATTTATAATTGATATTTTCCCTGATTTAATGTCTCTCTATCTGTACAAACACAAAAACTGATCAAAGCCCTTCTATTTACATCAACACGATTGCAACTATTTTAGCAAAATCAACCCAAGGGAATTTCAATACCTTATTGTACTTCCCATAGAAATCATGTTCCGATTACATAATACGCCATTGTCAAACTCGCACATTTCAATAGGCGACGCACAAAACTACTGAAATTGCTTTGGGTTGATTTTTAATACTCAAGTAGCTGCGATCATGTTAGTCTGTTTAATACATCCAAGCCTATTCAAATCATTTATACTTATATTGACATTCATCGTCTTTAATTCTTTACATTAACCTTTTCATTTACAAATATCATAAAAGTACAGTGTGAACTGCACGTTATTTTCAGTATGTCAACTAAGTTAGTACTGTGAAGCTTCACTCTAGCCTGATACCTTATATTCATTTCAAGTAAATGAGATTTCTTTTTTCTTTAAACATCCGATATACAATTTTACTTCAACTACCCACCATTGAATTGTTTCCCAATGTAATACATAATATACAACCAAACCGCTGTAGTTTGAATCTTTCAAATGGTTGATATTGAAGTTTTATCTGAAAAATAGAACACATTAACAGAAGGGACACATTGGAATAGTGCCATAAATCCAATCTACGGTAGACAGTTTGAATTCATAGAGGTGCATTAATGAAAATGAGACATAATGATTCATCTTGATTCATCTAAATGATTTTTAAAATATACTTCAAGCACATGTTTTCATGAAAGTCATACCATTATCTATTAAATATGATCACATTGTGATATAATGTTAAATTACAGCATATTTCGTGAATTTCGGCAGAATTACGATGAGGGGAATTCAATTCTCATCTCTCTACCCATTAATACAATCGGTACTAGACAGAAAACAGCTGTAAAATTTGAAGATTTAGATTCTGAGCCAATTAAATTGTTCGATCCAACAGCACAGAAAAACCTATCATGCTTATGTATTTATAAATTCCAGTAAAGAGTTAGTTATAACTAGTAGAAGTAAAAGAGCTCCCATTACCTTGCATCCCAATATATATGGCAAGTCTAAAAAAGTGTATTAGTTAATATTTCATATATAATCTAGGGCCATTCTGAGGCACATGTTAGTATAAGCCTCTTGATATATTCCATTTGGTAAATATTAATCGCCAAATCAATGTTTTAAAAGCATGTCTTCTTAACACGTATATATTTTTAAAATTTAATATAAGTAAATCAATTTTTTAAATTTTTTCTTTTGAGTTCTCTTTTGAGAGAGGACGAAGCCATAATGTCTCAGCACCATTTTGGTGAGAGTATGACAGCCTGAAATGCAATAAATATTACATACATCTTGTTATTTGTTATTTCTTTTGGAAATGAGTGTTTATGAGAGATTAGATAGAAGTATTATCAATCTCAGGCAAGTAATCAAATCAGAAGGCCATACATAGTGGTATGAGACCACAGATATACAGGCATTAATTCTAATTATTAAGACAGGTCATGCAACCATGTGCTTGTATAACCATTATTAGTACACAGAGGGCGCTATTGCATATTTCCTTTTGAGCCAAGTATATTTTCTCTGTGATAATGCCAACATATCTGAAAATCCATACAGATAATGATGGATTTACACTCCATGTTGTTACTTTCTGACATAATTATATCTTTTAAAAAAGACCATAAATTGATGGTCCAGAGTATGTCATTCTCATAATATATTTCTCCCAATGTAATAAGACTATGTTGATTGATTACTTCATTTTGCAATCAATACCATTTTCAAGCTTTCTCATTTCTACCACTAGTTGATCACTGTATTTTTAGATGGCTACTGTTAGAATGTCTGAATTCTTCTTTACATTACCTTCACAGTAATTGCCTTACTAACATTTTTCAGAGTTCAGATTTCTTACAGCAGCATTATCATGCATCTTTCCAACCAAATGACCTAAATTTGTTATAAATCTTGAGAGGACTTGTCTCTCTTTGGTTTAATCCAAATACCTGTGCATAAATGACTGTCCTAGACTGTAAAATATTCTCATCAATATTTGGGACATTTTGATACTGTCATATAGCCTTAAAGTAATGTCCTGCCTTTCAAAACCAAAAATAAAATTTCAAAATTTATGATTTCATGCTCAATTTGAAATCTCTCACCAAGGGACATGTAATCGCTTTTTCATGTAGATTTTATCTATTACCTGGGGGGTGTTTTACAAAGATTCTAAGTGGGACTTATCTCTAAGTTGGACTTAACAATTATGGAAAGCCGTTAGAATCCTTGAAAATATGTGGTAAAAGATATTTTAAAAGGCATAAAATGTTGATTCAAATCATTCATATTTTCTATTATCATGAGAGATGTGGAATTTATAAAAAGTCTAAAATACTTGAATTTTTGCTGTTGGATATATTTCATTATAAGGCTACAAATGGCTCTCCATAATATTTAAGTCCAACTTAGAGTTAAGTTCGACTTAGAATATCCCCCTGTTGAACTTGGAATATCAATATCTATCATTCTCCAATACTCTCATTACTCTTGACCGTTTCCTGTCAAACTTGCACCTAAACCCCTTGGTCATTTGAATACTCTTACACATGTGTACGACATCTTAAGTACATGACGCAGACGATTAAAAGAGATAAGTTTACAAGGGGCGAGGGAAGGGTTACTGCTACGATCAATATTCATCGTCGGAGCTGAGTAGCGTGGTCTTCTCCGTGTGACCCGACCTCTTGCTCCCTCCTCCCCCCGTGCCACTACGCGCCTTGCCCATGATGCCCCCTCCCCCATTGCTGCTGCTGCTGCCGTTGCCACCGCCGCTGCCCCCACCCGATGACGCTGCAGGATTGACCATCTCCTTGCCGTTGGTCTGGGGGTAGTGGTGGTAGTAGCCGGAGTCCATATCATCGGAGACGGTGCCCTGCTGCATGTACTGCTGGTAGGCCGGGGAGAAGTTGTGGATGGTGTCGTTGAACATGTCACGGGGGTTCACCGTGTCCTTCAGGTTGTTGGATATGCTCTGCTTTAGAGGGGGTAAGAAAACAGGGCGTGTCAGGGTGTGGTAGGGATGGGATGGGATGGGTGTGGTAAGGTGGTGGTGCGGATAGGACAGGATGGGAGTGAAAAAAAGGAACAAATTGATTCATCCTGCTCTCAAATTCTTTAGTCCTTACACTTGGTGAAAGCAGATCCTAATTTGTCTGCCACAACTTGTGTTTTATGCTAATGATCTACTTGCACCAATACAATGATCTAGTTGTACCAAAACACATGTCTAGCAGTTTTACAGACCAAAAATCTATTTAGTTCTTTAATATGTTGAAATAAGGAATAATTTGTCTTGCAATACAATAATAACATGTCATGGTTCTATTAAATTCAAAATGAGTCCGTACACTAAATTTGTTTGAAATGTCAATGTACAGGTACATTAAATAATAAGATATTTATTCATTCATGTCCTCTTTAGTACCCTATACTACCTGATTTTAATTACACTTTCCTTTTAAATCTGTTTTTAAAGTTGTATTCAATAATCTACGGTGTGATAAGAATCTTCCACTCAAACCCTTTTACCCATTCTTATAGTTAATCATTTTTCAATTCATTAGAATTTTATCAGATATCTCAACTTGTTTATCTAATGCTACATGTTTGGGACAGAGGTACTGCAGTCCATTTATGCATAAATCTATTTAAAAAAGGATTTGAAAAAAACACACACAGACAAACAAAATATCAAGAAACTTTCAAGCACAATTAATATCATTTGATGTTTTGGAAAAGAAATCTGATATTTTTATACCTCATCAATGTAATGTACCTGCAAATATTATCTGTCAGAATATGCATGAAAGATGACAGACTTCATTTCTGATTTCTACCAGAGAGGGCACACTCTATCTATGCATCTACCTCCATATCGTATGACCCCAGCCATGCAGACATTGTAAAGGAGAGCAAAATGCAGATCAATGGCACAGAAGAATTGTAATTTCTTTCTATCTATCTATCTATCTATCTATCTATCTATCTATCTATCTATCTTTCTATCTTTCTATCTTTCTATCTTTCTATCTTTCTATCCTTCTATCTTTCTATCTTTTTATCTTTCTATCTTTCTATCTTTCTATCTAAATATCTATCTATCTGTATGCCTGTCTGCCTATCCAGCTATCTATCTATCTATCAATCTGACTGTCTGTCTATCTCCCAATTTACCTGCATGTTGGATGATCCCAGCCCTTGTTTCTCCATGTAGACGTCAAAGGGGAAGGCATAACGCAGACCAATGGCACAGAAGAACATCTCAATACAAATGAGGAAGTTCTGGTAACCGGCAGAGACCGTTCCCGCTGGGATGGAGGATGTCTCATCCTTGGCTTCATCAGCAGGGTCGAGGGCTCCAGCTAGCTCAATTATGGCCAGTAAGACACCTAGAAACAGATGAAAAGAGATATGTCTTAGTAATGATAGAGAAATCTCATTTATATTTCTCATTCTTATTTCATTGCTCTTTCTCTGTAGATAGCGAAACCCTTATATTTTTTTAATAAATTTAATAAAAATGAAATAAATCCAGCAAGATGGCAGCGTTCAACATCTTGTCAAAATTTGGCTTGTGTACCTATCCCACCATCAATATACACTGACAAGTAGTTGTTCATAGAGGGCGGCAAAAAGGTTGAACATTTTGGTTGCTTTCTTTATCCCTCTGCAGATTTGCTTGCTTGCAATTTTGCACAAAAAAAGTTGTCACCATTTGACGGAAAGAGTGCTTTGTGCAACACAATTTCATTACAAAATGAAACCTTTCTAACACCTGAATAGATGAATCTTGCGCTGGAAACGGTTAAATCACCTTGAGGCTTTTATTATCTATCCCATAATAAAAATAATGTGGCACAGGGAGAATATTTTTGTGGCATAGAAAGGGTTAAGCTACCAGGAATCGAGTCTAAACTTTGTATGTCATTGTATATTTTTACCTCTACTTTCTCCACAACAACATTCATCAAAACGTCAAAAGCAACCAATGTTCCTCAGCCTCCAGAGACTAGGAGGTTTTTCAAATGCACTCTATTCTCTTTAATCTTTACTTAGATTATGTACCCCCATAGTATATTTCTTGGGCGCAAGGATCAAGGGAAATGTTAGTGAGTCTTAATGTATTGCAATTCCATGACAGCCCATGAATTATAGAAAAGAAGGCTTTGCATTGAGGTTCTTTTCTTACAAATTGATCACGTCATGCCGTTTCCATGGTAGGTATAGTACTATTGGATTTATTGGGGGATTATTTTGGCTGGAAAGCAAGTTTGTTTAAAAACACAAAACAGAACAGTAGGTAATAAAAAGGAGAGAGGAGAGAGAAAGAGGGGGGAAAGGGTAGATGAAGATGGAGTAAAGCAATCTGTCTTAGCTGTGCATTGTGAATACATAGAACTTCACCATTATTCTGTTCACCGTTGTCTACGCTAATTTCCAGAATTTAAAAAAAAAACAAAAAAAAACGCGAACATTGTTCAGTATCATAGCAAAAATGCAAAACTACATCAGAACAATTTTATACACATCCTTCATAGTGTTACTCACCTTGCCAAAAAGAGACAAAAATGATGGATTTGACGATGAAAAACTTGAGGATGGGTTGATAAGGTGCGAGGAGCTCTTTTGCAGCAAAGTAGAAGAGAAAGAGAGCGTACAGCGCCAAGCTGACTGATATATTATAGATGATTGTGATGTACAAGTAACCATCCGTAATTCTGAATGTAAGCAAGGATATCAAAAGGATTATTAATATAAACATTCCATAGTGGTATAATTATGCTGATGTATAACAATATAATATAAATTCTATAATGATTTTAAATACTGATGGATTATCAGGAAAAGAGATAGAATAGTGGATAGATATAGGTATAAATAAGTAGATAAATAGAGAGAGAGAGAGAGAGAGAGAGAGAGAGAGAGAGAGAGAGAGAGAGAGAGTAAGTAAGAGAGAGAAAGAGAAAAGGTGAAAGAGAGAGAGAGAAGAGAGAAAGAGAGAGAAGAGAGAAAGAGAGAGAGAGAGAGAGAGAGAGAGGAGGGGGAGGGGGGGGGGGAGGGGGGGGGGGGGGGGGGGGGGGGGGGGAGAGGGAGAGAGAGAGAGAGAGAGAGAGAGGGGGGGGGGGTGAGAGGTATACATATTTTCCTCCTCTATATACTTGTGGCATACAAAAATACATTTTTTGTATTCTACTGCCTCTTGAATACAAAAGAACTCTGTTTTAAAGATACAAGTAATTAGATCTTTTCCTCTTTTATTAAAGAAAATGATGAAGGTTTATATGGATATAATTCTTTGAATCATTATCAAAAACTAGGAATTCATCAAGGAAGAAGGAGAATGTATGACAGGAAATTAAAGCTTAAAGTCTATCTTGGGTATAAAGAGCTTGACTATTAAAAACCTATGCCCTTGATGTTTCTATTTATGCTCAGACAATAAGCGGATGGCTACTCAAAGAAACCTCATTACGTGAAAATGATGCATTTTCTCATGTTCCTTCTTCTATTTAAAGCTTGCCTTGTAACTCCTTACTCTCTTTAATACAGGGTGGGTAATTCTAAAATAGATATCAGATCATGGAATTTGGGAATTTTTTATCACTAGCCAAGGATGCTGAAACACTTAAATCTACAATAACTCTACAATGTACTTCATGATTATTAATTAAATATCTAAAGAATGTTTTCATTGACATTTGACTACTGAAATCTGCCATATAGGCTTGACACAGGATGCATCCGGTTTTCTTTAGGCAATGGGTGAACAGATATGTTTCTGTTAAAATCTATTACACTCAAGTATACTGTAAGATATCCTAGTAATAATAATAATAATAATAATCTTTTAGTCCACTCCAAATTTTATTAAACGGAAATGAAAATTCTTTTTGCCCAATTGATCATGAGCCCGGCAGCCACTGAGCAGCGCCAGATCAACGTTGCTCTATCCCTTATCGTTGAACGCCAAACAAGGTAGCAGCAACTCCCATCTTTGAACGTCTTTTGGTATGACGCGGCCGAGGATCGAACCCACGACCTCCTGGTTGTGAGGCGGACACTCTACTGACTGAGCCAACACTCCGGTATAGTGATCATATGAGTTAAACTTATACAACTTATATGAATGTACTTTGAAACCACACATGTTTCTCAATGCATTGTTTCTGTTGCCACAAGAAATGAATAGTATTCTTAAAGATTCTGATCCATCTTCTTCAGAGTCCATTGCAAAAATGATACCGAGAATAATAAAGAGTAAATTAACTTACGAGAAGTTCCCGTCTGAGTATTTTCCAAATGGGAGGAGTATGAGGGTGCAGAGGGCCATGACTGGTTTGATGAAACAGAACTGGAGGGTAGCTTGCTTGCAGAAACGCAGGAAACCGATGGAGTAGGTCCTACCTCTCAAACAACAGGTACAGCAAAACCAACTGGTGGGACTGAAGGTAGAAAAACAGAGAGAAATTGAACATTAATCATCATGAATTATTTGTATTGCGCTTTCATAATATATTATAGGTATAAGTCATACTTGACTTGTAAACAGTAAGATCTTTAAGCAAAAAGATTGCAGTCATAAATACCTTCTTTGTTCTTGCTCAAGAATGATTGAATGAAATTTGTCTTTGAAAAAAGAAAAATAATAATAATAATTACTTCCCCCTCTGACGACACTTCACCAAAAGTTGTAATTATTTTATATGAGAACAAAATTTAAAATGCATAAATTTCACCAAACTATGCTATGAACAGTATTTTTACCATTTCTTGTGATTTTAAGCCACTCCCCCCCTCCCCCCACAAAAAAGAAGAAGAAGAAGAAGAAGAAGAAGTCGTAAATGTATAATAATAATGTAGAACTGAATCTTGCTAATGAGCTGCATGAACAATTGTTAAAGATTTTGTACTTTGTATGACAGAATTCATTATCCCTTTCCCCATTTCGGCTTTTCCCTCCTCCTCCTCCTCTCCACTTGTAATCTCTCTGCAAACTAGCAACGAAAGGCAATAACTTGGCTATCAAATGGATTAAAATGATCGTAAATATTTCATGCAAGTTTTATTGCCATGGCCCATGTCTATCTACTTCCCACATACATATTTACACGTCGGTCATCTTCACATACAAGAGTTATAGTTTGTATGTCTGGTGGAAGACTTTTATCACCGCTCATCTAAACATTTACAGCACTAGAATGAGAAAACGTATAGATTTAAGTCATAACAAAACAGTAAACCACTCCATTATATTCAAGAAAAAAAGTAGGTCAAATTTGTGAGTTCCATAGATTCCTTGCATCTCAAGAACAGAACAGACCCAGCGATATCTATCTATTCTTTAATAATCACTTAAATTGTTATGATCTGAAACCCACTTTCCAATATCCTCTGTATAATTACTATTTTGCAGATTTGCATATATTATTTTTGTTATAACTTAGTGAAAAACTTTCAAGGCAATTAATTTTTTGACCCAATTTTTCCACAATATTAAAAATTCCCTTCTTATAGTTTATCCACCTACTTAATGCATCTGGATGTGTTGTTGAAAACTTGACATCATCTCTTGAAAAACATCTCTGCCGTAAAAAAATAATGGAACTTTAATCCCATCATCCATTTCCTCACGCGTCACAACATAATCCTCAGAATCAACTAGAAATGCATACATCCCTCGCTTCCCCTTAATGGCAGACATAATCTCCATCTCGCTCGCTAGAGTAAAGATTTGTTTGTGAGAAGGAAACTTAAAGGTTCTGAGTTCTTGCCATGAAACTGAATTTCAATAAAAACTGAAGAAAGAAAAAAGGATTCTGCAGTGTGTGTGTGTGTGTGTGTGTAATTGTTTTTTACAGACGTGTATCAATCAGATATGATTATTTATATCTGTGGACCGATCTTTAACGTCATCATCTGAAAGAAGTGCTTTTGGTAAGACATATTTATAATGTAAACAAAATGATCAGATAGTGTTAAAAATCATATGTACAAAAAATGTCCAACTCATTTATGCACATGTGGGACTACCGTAGATAATTTTACTCTTCTACTAGAAGATTGAATTTTCCCTATCATTCAATATTTAGTAATAATTGTCTCTAATTGATGTAAATGACAATCTGTCGAATATTTCCTAATTTCTAACATTTAGAATGAATTTTGAGCATTATGTTAAAAAAATTCACCATTAACACAAATCATGTCTAACTTTAAGTGATGCAGACAGTCTACATATAGAGGGAGCAATTCATCACTTGCTTAACGACCTTTCTAAAGCAGAGGATGTTTATGGATGTAGAAATAGAGCATCGATGGCTGGTTTGCAAGATTTGGGGATTTCAGAAATCAATAAAATCATCTGGGACTCACAGCAAGCCTGGATAATGGAGGGTGAATATAGGACACAGGAGATTTAGAAGTTTATCTCTAGATGTACCTGGGAAAAGCAATAAACAAAACCAGTCTACAATAAAGAGTGCTCTCTCCCCCTCTCTCTCTCTCTCTCTGTCTTTTTTTTTCTCTCTCTCTCTGCAATCTATATTATGGTCTGCTAGATCATAAAATATGATGAATTTCTGAATAATAAAAAAGAGTAATGTGCATGATTTTAGTCTGGAAAACCAAGCATTCAATATCAGCATGATAGAGGTGTGGGTATCTTAGGTACTTGTACTTGTATGTATCAACTAGAATGAATAAAATCTTATACATGCAGGTTTAACAAATCCCCCCACTTTAACCCTTATTCGCCATCACATCATACAGCTCTTTCATTTGAAACATATCTACATGTATATATACAACCACAAATATATCAGTAATATTTTTAGAATGAAGTATAAGACTGTATAGGCTAGTGTAGCTGTGAATCGTATCTCATATGTGATTCTTAATGCATCCCTTTTTCCAGTCACAATAAACACATCCATATGGTGAGGTCTGAAGTCAAAGATTAATGCCTTGGAGTCTAGTAAAATTCAATAACTTCTTAAAATCTTCATTCTACAGTACAGTACATGTAAGAATGTAAGAACTATTTATAGAGCCTTCATAATGGGGCTGTCAAGACCGGGGCTTTCACACAATCAATACTCGGGGCTGACCTTATATTATGCATGCACTGTAGAACAGTGAGAGTGCCATATAGATCCCCCGTCGTACATTTTCTTGCTATACTCGAGGCGGGAGAAGGGTAAAGTTACACTGGAATAGCTCTATGCCATCTATCAAAAAATGGATTTGTGTTTTGGAACTCGGAAGGAATTTCAAAACATGTTGTTGACAAGTTACTTTGAAAGCAAAAGAATTAGAATTGTACATAAAGAAAATATGTTTGTTTGGAAAAGCAATGTTTTTTAAAGATCTTAAACATCTTTATATTTAGGATTCTCCTTCCACTTGCATTCAAAATCAACATAATTAATCAATCATATCGTCGCTGTTTTCACGAAGTGACGGTAGTGAAAAAAATTGCATTCACTTTGCGTTACGATTTTCCTCGCTACCGTCACTTCGTGAAAATAGGGACGATATAGTGCCCGCAATATCCTCAAAAGGGCTACCCACCATTTGTTGATACTTCAAAAGAATGTGAACAATATCTTTGTTTTGATTTTCCTTCCTTTGGTCATACATTTATAAAACAAATTTGTTTTCTCAAGACCTGGTTTCCAGTAAACGGATATTTCAGGTCGATTTACATCATCCAAATATCCTAAAAGAGACTTGTCCAAGATTTTGAGGCAGCTTGTCCCATATGTAACCAGAGATGACAAAAAAGCTTCAACATCTAGAGTAGATTCTGGAGCACTTGAGGAGTCCATGCTATCTTCCTCGCTAAATCTCTCTCCCGGACGACCGTCAAGTACCCTACTTGTAGTTAATTTCATCCTCCGTGTCCATCTGTTCAATCCGCTGACCAATCCACTGACCGCTCACTCGATCTTCTATCCATCTGACCACACTGGAATATGGACATGCATAATTTGTTGGTGTTGGTAGTGGCTTATCATGTTCAAACAAAGTCCAAAGAAAAAACAACGTGCGTCACTGTAAGCAGATTAAAGACTTGAAAATGAATGTTCATCTATATGTCGTTAGTTTGGAGACAGAAGAGCGTTAAATCACTTCATTTTACACAGAGTTAAAGCCTTTTTAGCTCCAAACAGACAATATTGGCTTAAATAATACCTCACTAGAAGTAGAATTTTCACTGAAAGTGACCTCATTATACAATGACTATCCAGTATTATTGTAAACTAACTTAGTCATGAAGTTGGCACTTCAAGTTTCCACTTTTGCAAGCAAAAACTAATGATGACTCATCTGCTTCTGCAGAGCTCTGCTAAAACTGTGCATTTGAAATGTGAATAGGACTCCATCAAGAGTACATTTTATATAGGCTGCTCTCAAAATACTAGGCCAGGAGAGTGGAGTAGGGAACAGAATCTTATCTCTATACAAGTACATTGTACCTTTTTATTTGTATTACCGGGGTACAACAAAAAAAGCTTTGAAGTTGTTTGTAAGATTGGAGTGTAAAAAAAAAGTTGTAGAATACTATCTTAACCTTAATCCTGAGTGATAATAACCATTTAGCAAAATTAAAACTAGAGCGATTATCAAAAAGACTTATGAGACTGCAAATAACTACCGTAATCATATAATCAAAAGGATACCATTTGTCTTTATATGATGCTTTGAAAGATAATCCCTCTAATTCGTAAAAAGGATTCATTCCATTTCCATAAATTCTGAAAATTTGATGAAGGGGACTGGTCTTTCATTTTATCAAAACAAGGAGAAATGTAAAATACAATGAAAGTAAGGTTGAGGTGCTTTTTGCAGTAGAGTACAACAAGAGAGGAAAGAAGAGGACAATTTCATGCATGAATACAAAGCAAGTAGGGGGTGAAAGTAGTGTGTAGCTGGGCATAAAAAAGGCCCCTAAGCAACCACATTTATCCCTATGAATACGAGGCATAAAATGTGAGGATACTACACTTTTATCGCTATTTTGCTGCGGCAGATTTTTGTTTTTCTTGAGTTCTGCGTGAATTTATTGAGAAATCATGCATGCCGAGCAGAGTGTGAATCCATGGAAAGGGGAAAAGGGGGGGGGGGGGGGGCTGCCGTCATGATACTTTCAATGAGGCCCCTCCAGGTAAACTAGATATAAGGCTGCAAGAAATGTGAGCGAAGCGTAACCCACATGGCACATTATGCATGCAGGTAATAGTCACTTTACTGTGCGCTCTTGACTTGACGACTAATGTTCCTGTTTAATGGCTCTTCAACATCTCTCACATCATCACATTAATAGAAGATGAGTGGAAGACCTGTAATTGGTGAGATAGTCTGCATGATCAGACTTCATTCCTTAAATGCTGTGAGCATTGAAATCGGCAGCCTAGCATAGCCGGGTAATGTTGGAGTGCCTTGAGGACCTTGCAAGGTCGATACGTGCACTATATAAGAATTCAATATTATTATTATTATTATTATTAAGCAGCTGTGACAATGAATTAGCTTTCGTAAATCTTAATTCACAGATACAGCTTCAATCACTGTAAACTGCCTCAAATAGAAGAGGGGAGAAGAAAAAGAAGATATTTTCTGCATCTTTTAATACAAAGACTCATTGTGAGTGTATACTCGGGGGCCTTTTTCTTGCATACAAGTACATGTGAATGTATTTTTTCACCCTCACTTGCCATTGATTTTACACACAAAATTGTCCTTATTCTGCCATGGTTGTGTTTTGTAATGTCTTCTCTTTATTAAAAGATGGTTTGCTGCATCATAAGTTAATGATGCTTGAGATGGGGGATTCCCACTGGATTAATTTGCATCTCACACTAAAAACAGAACTCTCTGAAGTCTAAGAAGGTAATGATGCCTTCGATGTGTCTTTTCACTGCACAATCTTAAGTCTGAATACTTCTATGCATGGAGACTGTGCACATGATACATGTATATATTTTCTGCCAGGAGCCAGAAGGTTATAAAATTGTAACAAAAGCACAAAAGGAAAGCCCTTCTCACTCTCAACATACAATACAAGGTCGTTGGCACCCTAAGAAAAAACCTTAAGAGCTATGTATTGCCTATTATGCCTGTCTTCATCAGCTCCGATCCGGCCAAATAGACCGCTATTTCTGGTTCGGGAAAGTTAAGTGACTCTCACACTCTGCCGTGTAGGCCTACCGTGTGCCACCGTGCGCGAAAATGTCTGCGGACGGTGGAGAACGGCGAGGGCACACGGTGGTTCGTTATCAAAGCGGGCAACACGTTAATAGGGCGTTGGCGCTTATTTACACCCGGTGGGACCCGGCGAAAGTTTTGGGCATGTTCAAAACTTTGGCCGGCTGGCACCGGCCGCAAGTAAGCGGCAAGAGGACGGTGTTGAACGGTATGAGGACGGTATGAATACGTTATGAAAACGGTCACACTGTATGAACACGTTCACAACACGCTCATAACCCGTTACAGAACGGTGATGAAAAATGGAGAGCGGACTGACCGTTGCCGTTCAAATCGGGGTATTTATGGCAGTCCTGTCATGACGTCAGCAGTCCGGGGACTCGCTCACAGGACGCTCCGAGCGGTGAGGGGACGCTAAGTGACTGGTAGGTGGCTGCTACAAACCCGGTGCACACGTTCGAGACCCGGTATGGGCCCGGTATGGAAACGGCCAAAATTTTCAACAAAAGTCAATCTGGGCGGTGAAGACGGTAGAAGCACGTTCAACACCCGGTATGCGCCCGGTGAGAACGGTCAGAAGATGGCAACGAAACGGTGAAAAGATTAATTTTATGAATTTTTTTTGCGGCCGGGGACAAGTTCGCTCAAAACCCAACGTTCTGGACTCTGTTTTTTTTTTAATAGCCCGGCAGGTGGACGGTAGGCCTACACGGCAGAGTGTGAGAGCTCCATTACAAATTGCTTCTTCATCAGCTCAAGAAATTTGCCCATAGTGCGAGTCTTCGGTCTGGTGAAGACGGACCGGACAAATAGGAGGCTATTTTGCAAACTAGCCCAAGATATCTTGATATCAAGATATTTGGCCAACTCGAGCTGATGATGACAAGCCTGAGAATAAGGCATTCTCGCAGGCAGTCAAAGATAAAACCTCTAGTGCATTATATGCTGGATGCTGAATGAAAGCTGTTGAATAAGACAAGAAGTTAGAAGCCTTGCCAGCATTGACTGGTGACCTGTCCCTTTAAGCACCAACGAGGAAGTCAAATACAGGGATAATACACCTTGGTTCACAGCAAGCTACTGACTGGAGGGAAAAAAAATGAAGAAAGACGTCTGACCTTACCCAATATGGTAACAATGATGGATGACTTCGCACAAAATGTCAACTCAAAATGGACCGAAATAATATGCTCCAAACTGAACTACATCAGCAACAGCAGCATGCAGTGAATGCACACTGTCTTATTGTGTGGTGTTAATAATATGTGTAAACATAGTTTCTTTAACATGACGCCCTTTATGAATATTGGATGAGGTTGAACTGCCTGGCATAGATTCTATACAGCAAAACAAACATTGATTTTTCTTATACTGAAAAAACCGTGAATAAAGCAAGTCTAAGTGTGCATTGCAAATTTGTACTGGAAAACAATCCCAAAAAGATAAACAAAAAGATAAAGGAGAGATACAGAGAGAAGAAAAGGGATGGTAATGAAATACATCTGAAGAAAGGAATAAAATGCAGAATGGAGAAGAATTACAAACCATGCAAACAAAAGATAAAAAGCATGACGTAAGGTGGTTTAAGATGTAATCAAAGAGTAAGATATACATGTAGTAATAGTAAACTGCATGTACCGGTAAGCAAAAGAGAAGTTACATTTAATTTGATTTTGCAAAGGAAAGTGAGGAAGGGAGCCTGCACATTATGGATTGTATTCAAGGCCATTACGAGAAGCGCTTTCATGACCCTGCTACAAAATCTGGTTATTCTAGTCCCAATTTACTCCAAAAATACATCCTATAGTACCAATCTTGACTAGGATTCTTCCTCCTCGACCCATCCTAATGTAGCGGTTATTGGATTTATGTTCACACAAAGTGACATGTAATGGATGGTGCCTCCAGGCATCAAGAATGAACATGGTGTGTTCTTCTTATGTTGTCTATAGTGATTGATCATGACCCTGACTTCTCGACACACTTACAACCTACAAGGCAATGTATGTCGTAATGTGTTTACCCCTACAACATCATCCTCTGCTCACTAACTCTTGAAACTTTTAAGAGCAGACTTAAAACATACAGTGCGTCCCAGAAAAAACGAAACCGAGAATTGTCAATGTTTTTTCATAACTTAATCACAATTATAATTAATAAATGACACATATTTGTAAAGCTTAGATCCTACTCCCTCATTTGATGAAACTCATATGATGCATATTTCAAGCATGAGTGATTAAAAACAATTTGAAGAGAGGGTACTAAAAAGTCATTTCCAGAAAGTTCATTTTCTGCCCATTAATTTGAACCTTAATCAGGAAAAATGAGCCATTAATAACACAGTTCTGTTTGTTTAAAGTACATTAATGCATGCATTTCCATGATTTGATTAAACAAATTTGTTTTCACTGGCTGCCGGCCGTAGCAACAAACAGAGTTGACAAAAGATTTTACTCCATTTCGTTGATAACCAGCCATGCACAATGTGATGTGTATAAAGCACCACGTAAATCTAGACCACCATCATCATTATCATCAGCATAACCTTTACCATTTTTACCATTATCAATTCTATTAACATGTTGTACATAATAAGCTAGCAGAGTATGGCTCCCCAATATTCCTTTCTTGAAGAAAGCATAACTTATGGCAATTATAAACTATAACAAATTATCTACTACAGAAACAAGGCACATGCAAAGTCGGATGCCCTCAAGAATGCTTTAACAGCCATGTTTTCTCAATGGATGCAGTCGACATGGAGGAAATTTGCAGATTGGCCAGAAGATTTTGCATCAAATGAATGTAGTAGGGTCCTCATCAAAACAGTAAGATACGATATATCGTTCACATTACCAATTTGATACCAAATTGACTCCAAACTCACTGATTTTTTTCTGCCATTGAATGTTCATGCACTTGTTTGTTGTGGTCTATGGATGGTCGGTTGTCAGTCTCTGATGTGACTGGGGTTTATACATGAACAACATGATCATCTCTAATACGCCATCTAGCTCCTCATGTATGATGTTCCATCTCCCCCCCCCCCCCCTATTCAACTATCTTCTTTCCAAGGGATGTTATCTAGCCCCAGAGAGGAACAACACCTGTCATAATATATCCAATAAAAAGCTACTCACGTAATTGGGTTGCCCCTGATTTCAGACATGATCATCTCAACCCCTCTAGCTCTACATAGTACCCGTACGATGTCCCATCTCCCCCCACCCTCAAACCCTCCCCTTTTTACCCCCCCCCTGTCTCCCCCTTATAAACCCACCTTTCCAAGGGATGTTATCTAGCCCCAGAGAGGAACAACACCTGTCATAGAATACCCGATAAAAAGCTACTCACGTAATTGGGTTGCCCCTGATTTCAGACATGATCATCTCATCCCCTCTAGCTCTACATAGTACACGTACGATGTCCCATCTCCCCCCACCCTCCACCCCTCCCCCTTTTTACCCCCCCCCCTGTCTCCCCCTTATAAACCCACCTTTCCAAGGGATGTTATCTAGCCCCAGAGAGGAACAACACCTGTCACAGAACACCCGATAAAAAGCTACTCACGTAATTGGGTTGCCCCTGATTTCAGACATGATGGCACTCTCTCCTCCAAGGTACTCATAACACAGGCTCAGGAAGTTATAGATTACAAATGCTGCAAGATACAAGAAAGAAAGAAATAGAAACAATTTGATTAAATAGTGAAAATTAACAGTTACAATAACAGTCATCATAGGCAGAAACAAAGAACATAATATATTTGATAGCTTTTGTCCTCCAAAATCAAAATACAATTTTTGCTCCTCCATTTTTCCATCTTTATTCTTAAATTTGTTTATTTTATTAATCTTATTATCTTCTTGTCAGTTAGTGGTTTAGACCACGTTAAAGTTTTAACTGTCCTCCTTGGCTCCGTCTTATAAAGAGTTGATATCAAATCGCAATTTATTTGCAGGTTATATCAATCACAACTACGTACATGAGAGATAGGAGACTGCAAGGTTGCGATTGATTAGTATCAATTGTAAATCTTTATAAGAAAGGGCCCTGGACCATTGAGTGGAGAAATATTTTAACAATGTATTTACATTTAGTCTGATTCAAATCAGTAAAAATATAATTTCACTTCATTCAACTGCAATTCATAGAGAATTATAAACAGACTAATTTCTAAATGCTTGCTTTCTATCCCAGGAATGTCTAATAATAACACCTCAAGGTCCCTACGTCCGCATAATCAGGAATGTGCCAATTAGCAAATTGGCAATCCTGACCTTACCTTTATTGGAATTAATAATGCTACAATCTACCTTAACGTCCTTGGTTGTTGCCATGAATACAGCTAATCAGTAGATTGAGGTAGGACTTTGTAAATTTGCCTGACTGGCAGGGAAAATTGTAGTGTTGGTTATCTACATAAGATGTGAATGTTTTCAGGATAAATATTTCTTGAAAAGAGCACATAAATGTTTTGTATGCTGGTTATCAATATTCCTGTAAGTTGTGAATCTTGTTTTTAGGATCAATATTTAATACTGCTGTACTTAAAGGGTGTTGCAGGGATTTCCAAGGTGAAAATCTTAAGAGTTTTGAAAAGGCCAAAATGTTGTAAAAAATGATAATTGAAAACCTTATTATTTGCAAAATTGCTGTAATTTTTCTTTTCAAATTAGAAATTTCCCTACCCCTATCTCTGTCTATCCCTCTCTCCCTCCACCCTTACTACCCTCTCTCTCTCTCTCGCTCTCTCTCTACCAACTTTCACTTAACAGGTGGCGTATTTGAACAGGTGTAAATTATATACACAGGTACTCTGGAATCAAAATTACTGGTATGAAGCCAAAAGGCCCTTGTAATATAATGTCTGTTGAGAACCAAAAGGACATTAACTCCTATTATCTACGTCTCCACAGACTCAACATCCTTTCACTCTCAATGAACGATATCATCTACTGAGAGCAAGAAGGTTGTGTGTGAACTATACAGTCAAACCTGCTTTAGTGACCACCTGTATAGAAAGACCACCTGTCTATAAAGACCACATTTTTTGTTTCCCTTGAAAATGGATTCTCATTGAAGCATGTTCTAAAGGAACCTGTACATAAAGGCCACCTGCCTAAAGACCACTTTTCTTGTCTCCCTTGGATGGTCTTTATATACAGGTTTCACTGTAATAGCAAATAAAATGGACACCTTTCTACTCTAGCTCTCATCTGTGAGACATCACAAAATCTATAGAAAAAAAAATCAAGAATTGCTAAGAATGATTTTTTAACTAAAATCACTCTACAGGAGCTTCCCAAGTGAAGTCTTCGGTTGCATTCAGTATGCAGGAGTCGGGGCTGGAGTGAATGTACATCATTCAAAGGTGTAGATTAAGAGCACTAATGAAGTGTGGCATTTCAAAGTCGTGTGTAAGCTATACCCTCCCCTGCTACTAAGGGCACTGTGCATAGAGAAATAGAGAAAACGTGAAGTACTAGTCTAACAGGATGCAGACTCTTTCACATCTATAAATATGCATTTGAATTTTGAATTTTGAATTCACTATCTAAAGAAATATATTTGAAACTAGTTATAGTGAAGAAGAGAATTCTCAAGGATTTTCATTTCAATTGTTTTAATCATTATTCAAATATTACTGTGACGGTGGATTATCCAAATTTAATTATTTGTTTAAATGCATGTACAGTGTACATGTTTTTTCTGGGGTTCTGCTACTACAGTATTTTAACATACATGCACATTGTAAACCAGCATTCCAAATACAAACAAGTATTCACTATTCAATTATTTTGAGATGAAGACAAAAATTAAAATTGAAAAGGCCCTTGTCAATAAAACTGCTTAAGAGAAGATTTGGCACACAAATAATATGTACCGGCTGTTAAAAAAACACTGCTTCTTTCTCTGTCAATAGTCTTGTAACAAAAGTCAATTTCCTCCCTTCCCAATCTCATGAAACATGCGAGGTGAAATCCCCATTTTCTTTTTTTTTTACATATTCGTCTAGATTATTTAGTCATTATAGGCAAAAGGGTGGGGACACGGATGTGAAACTTTGTCATAAAATAATCAGGAAGTATTGCGAGATATCCTTTCAGTATCAATTCCTTTGAACCAGGATAGAAAGCAACACATTTGTGTATACTTTGACAAACAAATCTCAATATCTGAGTGCTATTGCACAATAAAAGGAAACACCCAAGCTATTCTAAGTGCTTAAGATTACTTTCCACGAAACAAGGATACATGTATATAATAAGATGGCAATGTAATCTAGTTTCTTAACAGTGGGAAATTTAGTCCTGATAGGTTCTAAATCATTTTTTTTTACCAACTATTGTGATAAAAATATATTGAAGTCTGAGTGTGTACATCCTATACATTGTAGATGCATAATTGATCATATTATTTTGTATGCTGTAACAGGTGTCATTACAAATTGTTTACAGTATAACAATAATAATAGTCATAGTAACAATAATAGTAATGGAAATGGTAATGGTAATGGTAATAGTAATAATAATAACAGTAATAATAATAATAATAATAATAATAATAATAACAATAATAACAATGATAATAACAGTAATAATAGTAATAATTATTTAAAATAATTCTGAAGCTATGCCACGTTTCTGGATGACTTTTAATTCCTTAATTAAAACATAATTGAATTTGCCAGTTGCCACATTAAAAAACAAATTGTCATAATATTGAATGCGATTCATATTGATATTTATGACAGGTATGACAAAGCTTTAAAAAGGTAGCATGGCACAGTGAAAAGTACCTGCAGGCAACGAGTATTGGAATCTTGGACCATACTCAAATATCACAGAGCAAAAAGGTTGCAGCATTTTAATATAGTATGTTGCCTTACGTGTAATTTCATTTCCACTTTTTTGTTGCAAAAAATACAAAAACAAGACACTTTTAACTTACTTTGTGTATATATTTGCACATGTAAATACTTTGTGATCAGTTAAATCCAACAAATTTAACACGAGTGTCAGTTATCATAGATTTCTTTTAAGTGAGTATGCAGAGCATTATTTGTTTATTTTATTTTTTTAATGTTTGTGAACTTCATTCATGGTTCAGAATCATGAATGTGCAATGCCATGAAATCATTGGATCAAAATGGACACAAAACTCACCAATCATTTACAATTCATGATTGTTTCATGCTGAGAAAGTATTGGTTTTACAGTATGGACACAAACAATAGTTTGTGATTAGAGCATTAAATGTTCCAGACTTTGATATATCACATGACACAAGTCCAAAATGACTATAATTTCCACAGTCAAATTCATTTCCAGCAAAGTGTGCTCTGATGTAGACTATCTCCAAACAGACAGTCCACTAGTGTCTCTTGCTTTTCACTATACAAATCACACAAGCAGCTGTTTGCATGTTTTTCAAATCAAAACATATTCTGAGAAATTAAAGTTTTCACCATTTCTCCACTGATTAACATATCTTTCAATAACAGGTCTTTCTACACTGGCCATATTCAACAAAATTGTTTCCGTCATCAGGAAAATTACTTTTCTATCGAAGGTTATGTATGACTGCAGGGCATGGGAACTATACAGGGACTACAGAACATTGACTGTGGGGGTGCTATGTGGAAATTATGGCTTTATGAAAAAGGAAAACATTAAATGATCTTTAAAAGAGCTTCATCTTAAACATGGCTCCACATTAACTTTTTTTTGAAGGGGTCTGGATTGAACTTTTTTACAGGCTGTATGCTATGAGGCGCCGTTTGTAAAACAATTATATAGACAAATTATATGTTATATAATCATTATTTAACAAATAATAACCATTATTTACATATAATGCAAGAAAATGTACATTTTTATTTGTATATAATTCTTAACACATTTTTATTATTTATAAATAATGACAAAGAACGTTTCATTATTTATATATAATTGCCATTATTTATAAATAATTACAATTCACACTTTCATTATTTATATATAATAAAAAGCGTACTCAATTATATAATATATAATGAAAAGCACATTTCCATTATATAATATATAATGAAAAGCCATTTCCATTATATAATATATAATGAAAAGCGTATTTCCATTATATAATATATAATGAAACTCACATGTCCATTATATAATATATAATGAAAAGCGTATTTCCATTATATAATATATAATGAAAAGCACATTTCCATTATATAATATATAATGAAAAGCGTATTTCCATTATATAATATATAATGAAAAGCACATTCCATTATATAATATATAATGAAAAGCACATTTCAATCATATAATATATAATGAGAGGCGTATTTCCATTATATAATATATAATGAAAAGCACATTTCCATTATATAATATATAATGAACAGCGCATTTCCATTATATAATATATAATGAAAAGCGCATTTCCATTATATATTAAATAACGATTGTGTATGCAAATGTCAATGGTTGGTAACGCCCATAATATGAATATTCATGAGCTTGACTGATATTATTATCCTCTATTCCAGGCACCTTTCCATTTTGTGTTCTTTGTGCATTCTTATCAGAAATCCTACGTGCGGTAAATAAGTCTCTGTATCACCATTCTCCTTCTTATTTGTATGCAGATTTGGTTATAATGATTGATAACTGTAATCATCCTCATTA